GTCTTTGTGCTCAGCCTGGTGATCATATATAGTGAATTAGATGGACTGTAAGAACTGTGCATAAAGTTAAAAAAAATTGATGACAGTTGAAAAATATATGCAGTGAAAAATATACTTCCCACCTCATCCCTATTGGCTGCTTAATTCCAGTCACACCTATACTTTTATTAGGATTTTTCGGGTATATTTTTACAAAGTTTCTTTATGCTTTGCAAATGGCATTTCCCTCTCCCATCCTTTTCAACAAAATGTAATGTCTTATTCCCCCTGTTCTTCACCTTGTTTTTTCAAATGAAATCTTTCTGTGTTGATATATAGAGAAATTCTTTCTCCTTGTTTACACTGACCAAATAATCCATTGTGTGATTTATTTAACCAGTCCCCCATTAAGGAACATTGATTGGTTTCCAGTCTTTTCCTATTGTAAACTTGGCTACACTGAATTCCTTTATACATACATCATTTGACTGTACGTATGTATGAATGTAGCGTAATTTCTCAGAAGTGGCATTACAAGGGCAGAGTATGTTTTTGTAATTTTGAGAGATAACTGCCAAAATGTTTCCTTAAGGGTTGTATTAATTTATACTCTTATCAATAATACAATAAATATTTCTCTGAAATTGAAGGCTTTCTGACATTAATGCAGCTACATCAAAACATGGGCATAGAGGGCCTCCCCGGTGGCACAGCGGTTGAGCACTGGGTTGCGAAGCTGCCTGCAGCCTCTGCAGCTCCTGTTCAATCCCTGGCCACAGGCGAGAGTCCCACATGGCGTGCAGACCTCTCCTGCTGCCCGCTGCTCCCCTCAGCAGTATACTTCGTCACTCTGCCTGTTCTACTCTCCGCTCTGGCTCTGGTGAATTCTCTCACCCTCCTGTGACTCTGACTGTACCCAGTACTTGTATAAATAAATAAATAAATCTTTTAAAAAACAAAACAAAACATGGGCATAGAGCAACAGAAAGGAGACAAGATAGAAGAACCTACTTGGTTCCATGTAGTTTAGTCTATCCTCTCATATTATCCCCACAAAAGCCTTCTAAAGTAAACATTTGTATCACCAAATACAGCTAGAAAACTGCAACCTAGTGAGGATAAGTCATTTGCTCAAAGTCTCAGAACTAGTCAGTGATGGAGCTGGGGCTTTAGCCCAGTGTGTGTGATTCCGAAACCCCTATTCTTTTCAAATTCCATTTCCCTTTGGGATCTGGGGCCTAGGAAAAATGCAGTATGTATGTGTTGAGTGTATGGATGGGTGAGTGGATGGGTTGACAGAGACAGGGCCTCAGGGGAATGAAATGACTACTTGGAAAAGCAGAGGCAGAATAGGAATCAGGAGCCAGGAATAACTCACTGGAAGGTGACATGGACCAGGAGGGCCTAGAAAGGAGAATGTTGGATTGTGAAGAGGGTCTGTTAGTCATGCAGGAAAAGGCAAACACAGTTATACAAAGCTTTAGTGTGTTCTGTTAGATCATGCTTCTGGGTGCCACACATCTCAGCTTCTGTGTACACTTTCACTTCTATGTTAATATTTTACAATATCAGGTTTAAAATAAAAACCCAGCACTGTGGGGTTACGGAAAGGCTCACCAAACCTGATAAAAAGCTTCAAACTTGGCCAGCCTTCAAATCCTGCTGTGATAAATGTAGGTAGTTCTAGGTAATAGTTTCAAGGCAAAATCTCCGAATGTGGCTGTCCAAGCCAGCCTTAAAGTCTGGAATGTTACCATCATGGTCTCAGAACCTTCTTTATCTCCAGTATTATTGCTGTTGTTCATGTTCCTTGAACCCCTCCTTGGGAATTGCCATCAGGTTTTAGAGTTCACTGTTTTCTTTATTTTTTAAGGATGTTAGTACTTTGCCTTTAAGGGTGAAGATTGAATTTTTTTTTTAAAAAAGCACATATTTTTAATAGTGAAAACTCCCCATACAATTCCCACTCCCCTTATTTTGACCTTAATCCCTCCCCCCACCCCACCCCCGGAGTGTGTGTCTGGTTTATAGTTGCTTGTTGATTTTGATTTTTACTTTATTAAATACCGGATGGTCTCATTTATAGCAGGAATTTAGAAGATCTAAATAAGGGACCAGGAAACTGTCTTTTTTAATAGCAAACACTTTGTTAATTTCAAAAGTGATATTTCACACACTAGCTTTTTTTGAAGTAAGAATTCATCTTATAGGATTATAAAAGAAATCAAAGAAAATGAACTAGAAAATCAGATATGAAGGAGGTAACCATTTTGTCATGGCTTGGTGACTGGCTCTTTGGTTCTTAAAGGTCAAGCTTTCTCCCTTCGCAGGAGCCCTGCATCTCTACATGTGCTTATCGAGTGTTCCAGAAGTATCTTATGACTGTATGTTCTAGTTTCACTACAGTTCAATGTCTACAGTAGGTTTACCTTCAAATTTTATTACATTTACTTTGTGACAGACAAGACTAATTTTACATGTATCAATTCAGATCATTCTGCCAAAACAGAAAATTGGTTTGTCTTATTTTTTTTTTTTTTACCTTTTATGGGATTTTTTGCTAATGGTTTCATGCATTGATTGTATGGGATATTGCTTACACTCACCGCTCCTCAAACATCAGTACCTTGTTAACATCTGCCAACTGATAGAACTTACCCTGGGGGATTAACTTTTGTGCCTAGGCACACAAGGACAGTATTTTTACATACTTTGATGAGGGAAAAGGAAAAAATAGCCCAACTACAATATCACCATTGGCAGTGTCACAAATGTTTGTTGGATGGTTGGAAAGTGATAGAATGGAATTGAGAAGAAAGCAAAAAAGATGAAAAGGAAGATGAGTGGATTCCCCCCTTGGAGCTGATTCTTGGTTCCCAAAGTTCAAAAGCTACAAGAATCTAGGACTGGTGACAAGGGAAAATATTAGTTCTCTAGAAAACCCAGCAGACATACCAGTGAGGTGTTTGGCATGTCCACTATATCTTAGCAATGGGGTAGGAAATATTGACCTCAAGTTTTCTCGTTGCTGGGGGGAATCTTTTCATTTCTGATTAGGGTAATGGACTGAGTTCAAAAGCTTCAGGTATGTTAGCTCTAGTTCTAATCCCTTCTGTAATAATGCCTAGTACTTACATTCTCTGGGCGCTTATCACAATGGTGCTTACAGCCAGGTTCTGTTCAGCTGTCACAACAAATTTGTACATAGATCAACTTACAACAGAATCAAGAGAGATCATAAACAGCAAAGGATTAGGCCCAGAACAGTGTAGGATTTGATAAAATGTAGGATTCAGAAAGAAGACACATCTTTAAACGTTGATTTGGATGTGGAAACAATTAATCTGGCCACAATATTTATTATGTAAAAATATAGGCTAGGTACAGAATGTCTCCTGTTAACAAAAGATCTCCTGCTTTTCCAGTTAGACTGCTAGAAGAAATGATGGCGGGTACCTTCCTCTACCTCCAGGACACATATTGGGGATTCACAAGACCTTATGAGCAGACTGTGTGAAGATGCTTGGGTACAAGATCATGCATAGGGACCAAACTATAGGGAAGGAGTTATTTGAATTTTCCTACAGATGTAAACTCTAGAATATCAGGGATCATAGCTTCCTTTTTAAATGCTGTAACCACTGTGCTCAGTCTGGAGCTGGCATGTAGTAAACACTTGATGAATATTTGCTGAGTAAATAAAATCAAAACCAACAAATAGAAGGAAGCACATTTATATAAAAGCTACCGGTTTTTATTAACACCAGTCAAATTGGTCAGATCATGACTGCATTGTGGACACTACTCATGATCTACTAGTAATCGTGTTCTAAAACTTACAGTAACAACAGTTTCATAGATCAACAGCAACTTCATAGTGTTTAGGGAACTGTTTATCTATGCCCTTTAACTTTGCAGCTCTTTCTTTCTCTTGCTAAGTTAGCAATAATTCATTGACATGGCCACTGCTAAACCAAAAAGAACTTTGTGAAATTAGAAGATGTCCTCCCCAACCCTGACACATGCAGCTTTGCAGGTTCACATAGGCAGGAGTTCATCTCTCCCTTACCCCTTCAACAGGACATGCCTATGCAGTGAGAAACCTGCATAGCCCCAGACTGTGTCCATGTTTGCTGAGGACCTTCTCATATCAGACTCCACGTCAATGAGTTACATACATTATCACACCAGACAATTCTAACAAACCTGAAAGACAGGCACAGCATACCCATTTTATAGATAAACTGAGGTCCAGATGTCTCAATGGCCCAAAGAAGAAAATGGTAGAGGGACCTCCCTGATGGTATGTGGGTTAAAGTCTCAGCATTATCAAGCTATGGTCAGCCACTGCAGCATGAGTTTGATCCCTGGCCAGGGAGCTAACCCACATGGCGCAGCAGACCTCTCCTGACTCACCTGCTGCTCCTCTCAGCAGTGTATTTCAGTAGATCTGTCTGTTCTGCTCCCCACTCTGTCTCTGGTGAATCCTCTCACACACACACCCTCACCGCACTTCTGGCCTATACCCCAGTTCTTGTATGAATAAATAAATAAAAGTAAATCTAAAAAAAAAAAATAAGAGGACGGTAGAATGAGGATTCACACCCAAAATCAGAACTGTCTGGAATGTTCTGCTCCAGCTGAAGAGAAGGGAGGAAGATCAGATTAATCTAAAAATTGTTTATCTTTCAGCTATTGAGGTATAAAAATGTTCTGAAAGATACAGAATCTAGTGCCTAAAAGGAAGTTTTTGTGGTAATTGTGGGCTTTATTGTTGTGTCCTTTGAGAAGTATTTTGAAACAGCCATTTGTTTTTCAAACATTTCATTTACTTGCTCTGACCTTTCTTCTTAATAGTCTCAGAGAAAGGTGTTGTTATTAGGACAAGCACTTACTTTTCTGTTTGTTACCCACATCTGCTTGTCAGGGCCATCAGGTAAAGCATCATAATAATGGTGGCTGACACTGATTGTCACTTACTTGATGGCAGTCACTGTACTTGTGAACCCTCACACAGTCACTGTTCTTGTCCCACTTTACAAGTGATGAAAGGGAGGCACAAAAGGGCTCAAGAAGACTAGTAAGTGGAGGTACCAGGATTTAAGTTCACTACATGATAGTGATAGGTGTTATTTTCAAGGTTACAGATCTCCATCACCTCTTTTAGAGCAGATTACTCTCTTCTGCCACATAGGAAAAATAACTATGGGTCTTTGTTAGGAACCATTATCTCCAAAATTCAGTCTTTCATTTTAAAATTCAGTCTAGTGCCATCAATATTTATATTAATCAGTATAAATTATAAAATGAATGTGTCATTCTCTTCTAGTATTTTCTCTATTTTTGTGTCATTATTTTACCTTTTCTAGGATGGTCACGTAGAGTTTTATTCATGTAGTGAAATCAGTGCCAATACCACATCCTCCACTAGAAAGGTACAATTTGTCACAAAGGATCCACATTGACATGTCCATGTCACCCAAAGTCCACAATTTACATTAAGATTTGTGTGATTATTTTAAAGCTATTTTAGCTCCTTTGGGCTATGCCAAAGAAATATTAGAGACTTTCCTTTGTAGTATTTCTCAGCTTGGTTAACTATTTTCAGGCTGTGATATGAAAAATGATATGAAGAGGACATTTGCCTACTTCATGTATGCTGTAAAATAAGGTAAAGTATGCAAGAGTGAAAATACTATGATCACAGGGACACATGTTCTAGTTAGGGCAAAATTGATAGATCCCTTGGACACTTTTGACACTACATGTGGATACATATATTTTTACAAAGTTTTTGGTTTGGGGAGGGGAAACTTGATTTAGTCTGAAAACATAATAGATTCTTAAAAATGTAAAATTTTGTGTGTTGACACATTCCTTGCCCCTCCCTAAGGCAACCATCACCAGAACCTCCTTTGTGTGATAGCTAAATAAATTGCCATAATGAATTTCTTTATAGATTGGAAATGACTTTTGTGAGACTGGAAGTGGAGGTGTGAGAAGGACTGAGGTGTAGGCCAGAGGTGGGGGGCGGGTGGAGAGGAGGCTGTGAGGATCACCAGAGACAGAGTGGGGAGCAGAACAGGCAGATTTTGATAAAATACACTGCTGAGGGGAGCAGCAGGCGATACAGAAGTCTGCTCTGCCAGAAGGGTTAGCTTCCTGGCTGGATCAAACTGAGGCCTCAGTAGTGATAAGTGCTGAGAATTAACCCCTAGGCCACCAGGGAGACCCCTAAACTACAGAGTTTTAAAGTTTAAGACGAGGTGTTTGAGTTGAAGATAGTAAAGCGATTTGATTTGGGGAATGTTGGAGTCACAGCATGGCCATTCTGTACTCTTGTACCCAGGACTCTTTAGTGCTATTAAGTGTACTTCTTAACATCAATACAATTACTCAAGATAGAAACCAAAATGATAATTTGTATTTTTTCTTTTCTTTTCAAATGAATGATCAAAAAATAACTTCAAGTATGTATTTTTCAACCACAGAAGTAAATGAGTCCTGCATTGCCCAACCCAAGCCATGCACACTGGAAAGAGAATCTACTTTTTATGGCAAGACACAAAGGGAAAGCCGGCCTCCATCAGAGAAGCTCAAGATTTCAGTGATATCTACAGGTAATGGTGTAAACTCCCTCTGTGAACAGCCCCCGACAAAGGATGCTGTAGCCCAACCAGGATCCACAGAGAACATTCAGCTTCCAGAGAGAACCAAAGAGCATGGGCTGTCTCAGCCAGGTGGCAAAGATGATACTCAGGGGGCAGAAGAAAAGAAGGCAGTGGAAGTAGTCACAGAGTTGGAGCCTTTAAAGGGAAATGCTGAGATTGAACCTATTGGAACAGAAGCCATGTGTCAGCCTTTGAGGACAGCAGGACAGAGTGAGTCTCCTGGAGCAGTGGAAGGCACTGAGAACATACAGTGTGCTGCAGAGATGAGACCTCTAGAAACAGCTGAGAAAAGTCCTCCTCTGGAAGCAGCTAGAGAGCTACAAGCTCAAGATGAAGTGGCACAGGATGAAGAGTCTCTAATCCCAGAAACAGTTCCCAAAGAGACTGAATCTCCAGAAATACTGGAACAAAGTAATCAGCTTGTGGAGAACAGTGAAGAGCAGCAATTAGGAAAAGAAGAGCAGTCCCAATTTCTAGCAGCTGCCAAGGGAAATGAATCTGCAGAGGTATTGGAGAGAAGTCAACTTGTGGAAGGAGCAGAAGAGCAGCAACTTCAAGAAACCATGGGAAAAGATATGCAGTCCCAACTTTTAGAAACAATTCCCAAAGAAAATTCTCCAGAAATATTGCAAGGAAGACATTTTATGGAGTCAGCTGTAAAGAATGATTTGCTCCATAAAACTTCAGAAGTTCCAGGAAACATGGAGGAGATTCAACCTGAAGGGGTAGTTGGAAGCATGGAATCGCCAGTAGGAATTTCAGAAACAGAAACAACTGTGGATGTGGCCAGGGAAATTCACACCAATGAAGAGGACCAACACATTGAAGGTAATAGTTATGCAGTCAGAGAGTCAGGATATTTAGGTGTGCTCCAAAAGAGATCATTTCTAGGGGTGAATGAGGCTTGAGCCACAGACATTAAAGTCTGTATTTCAGATGGTTGAAGTTCATTTGAATCAAACCAAAAAAGGCTTCCATACCTGGAAAATAGGTGGTCAGCTCTTTCCAACAGATAATTTCTAAAGCATAGTCAGTGTCCACATTTTTAATCTAGCTTCATTGTTGAATGGAATTGAATATTGAATGTAACATGTTAAAACATCTGAATTTCCTGAATTTGTGCCTCTTCAGTCCCCAGATATGGTATATGAGGATCCAAAGTAAAGATGAATAGATGGTTAATGGAGTTATTGACTTTCTAATGACAGAAATCACAAATAATGGTTGTTAGAGTGTAATTTTCATCTTTGCCATCTTATCCTTGGAAAATTAATGTTCTCTGATAGCCTTTTTATTTTTATGAGACTAGAGAAAATGTATGTCGTGGCAAATTTTATTTTTAAAAAAAGATTGAGTTAACATTAGTTTATAGCATTACATATGTCCCAAGTGTACATCATTATAAATCAACATCTTATATACACTGCATTTAAATTCAACACTAAATGTTTAGTTCTATCCCTCACATCCAATTGCCACCTCTTCCCTGACTAACCCTCCACCTCCTCCTTCCTTCTGATAACCTCTAATTTGGTCTTGTAGCCTAAACATTTATTTTTGTTTTATTTAGCGTACAGTGTTTTTAAAATGTACTTTATAAGTAGAAAACAAATGGTGTCTATACCATTCTTTGATGGAGTTATAATTTTAAAAAATAACATTTTCTTCTGGGGCTGTTATTTACATTTTGTAAAATTAACTTTACGCTACAGTGTAATTCAATGAAGCTTTCACCCACCCATCCTTAAATCTTTCACTTATTAATGCAGCAGTTTTTTGGGTTTTTTTTTTCAGTGTTAAATTTCTTTTTAAAAATTTTAAAATTATATATATATTTTAAAGATTTATTTATTTATTTATACAAGCACTGGGTATAGTCAGAAGCGCGGGAGGGTGAGAGAATTCACCAGAGCCAGAGTGGGGAACAGAACATGCAGACTGACTAAATATACTGCTGAGGGGAGCAGCGGGCACAGCAGGAGAGATCTGCGTGCCATGTAGGACCTTTGCCGGCGGCCGGGAATCGAACTGGTGCTGCAGAGGCTGCGGGCAGCTTCGCAGCCCAGCACTCAACTGCTGCACCACCAAGGAAGCCCAAATTTTATATATATTTTACATTGTTCTTCCATTTTTACAATGCTTGCTTTCTACTCTCAGGTGTAGTCCCTGCAAAATTCCCGTCACCAAATCACCTGTGCACCATCGCCATAGTCTCCTGTGCAAGAACACATTCCCTTCCCTGTTTTGATCCCTCTGCCTCCCCCTCCCCTGCAGGGTGTCTCTGATTAGTAGTTGCCTGTTTGTTTTGTTTTTTAATTTATTATAATTTTTTTCCATGTCCCTTATTTTGTTCCCCTACCTTCCTCCTATAAGTGGAACCATCTGATATTTTTCTTTTTCCTTCTGGCCTATTTCACTGAGCATAATCCCTTCCAGTTCCATCCACGTTGCTGCAAATGGCATGAGTTTATCTTTTTTTGATTGCTGAATAGTATTCCATTGTGTATATATGCCACATCTTCTTGATCCAATCATCTATTTTTGGGCATTTGGGTTGTTTCCATATCTTACCAATTGTAAAAAGTACTGCAGTAAACATAAGGGTACAGGTATCCTTTTAAATTCGTTTCTGTGTCCTTAGGGTATATTCCTAGGAGTAGAATTGCTGGGTCACATGGGAGCTCCATTTTCAGTAGTCTGAGGAACCTCCACACAAGCTTTACATAGTAGTTGAACCAGTTTTAATGCAGCAGTTTTTGAGTGCCTAGTCTTAGACTAGGTGCTGGGAGTGCAGGAGGAGGAAGAGATAGTCCCCATTCTCCAGCAACTCACTGCATAGTGGAAACAAGGCAGAATGAAAACAAATCACCACAAACGATGAATGTGAGTGCTTTAATAAAAGTGTGTAAATGTGCTCCAAGGAGAACAGGGAGAAACAGTAAAGTATATATTTGTTAGACCATGGCCAGCCAACTCAAAAGTTCTCAGGCCTAGGATAATGGTAAAGGGTGAAGCAAGAGAAATGTGTAATATCATGGGGAGCCCCATTCTGTGAAAAGAGCAGTCTTGTAAAAAGAGCAGTCTTGTGAAAAGGTGCAGCTGCTGCCTGGCTCCACCCATGAGAGTGGGGCAGTGTTCCCAAAGCTGACCTCCTGGGAAGATAGATTTGCACGTGTAATGTCCAGATGTTGAATAGTTCTCAATTTTTAAATGTTTAATGATTGTTTTCTTTAAATACTAAAATGGCCAAACATGAGAAGTTTCTGAGTATCTCTAGATCACCTTTTGATTTAGATATGAACAAGGCTTTGTATTTGCAACATGTTCTATTGGCATTTCTTGGGTAGTTGTATATCCTGATGTTTTATGAGAGGATGCAAAGAGTGGGAGATAGTAAGAGACTTGGCCATTCAGAGAACTAGAGTAATTACCTTTCTTGAAACCACTGGAGAATCTTATTGCTTAGTTGTAAAAAGCAAGAGCTATTGTATTGGAAATCAGCTTTGGGGAACTTTATTATTAATGCTAGATGTTTAAGAGTATCTCCTCTCAATGTCTTCTTTGGTTACTTTTCCAGGTGAGACAGGAGAAAAAGTTGAAACAGAGATGGAGAACAAGAAATTGAGTGAAGGAACTGAAACAAAAGAAGAAGAAACAGGAGAATATATGGACCTTTCAGCAGCCACATAGATAGGTACGGTGAGAGGAGGGTGAATGGACACAGCATGTCAGAATACAGAAGACAGAAAAGTGGTAGTGAAACTTGTGGTTACAGATCTGATCTTTCAATATCTACATGTTTTACTTAAGGAATGTGGTGATCATGTTCTTAATTACATTGTTCCATAAAACCACTAAACTGTAAACAGTTTTTTTTAGCTTTTGCAAATAACTATCTCTTCAAAACTACAATAGCAAGAGATAATAACAACTAGGGTTGTTACACTCTCATAACTTAAGAGTCTGAGGCTGCTTTCTTCATTGTGGCAATGGATCCATTCAGTATAGAAAAGAGACCCTAAAAAGAAAGTGCAAACCTTTAGCTATAGGTGACTGCAGAAAGTAGTTAGTGAATTTTAGGGCGGTCATGAAAATAAAGTCACACAGTAATAATTATGATGGAAAAGAATGAACAACAATGGGACAACTGTGCCTAGTATTCCTTTACTATCACAGAAAAGCTGTTAAGAATCTTAGGAAGTATGCCATCTAATTACTTTTTCACCTTAAGTGTAAGACTATTGTTTATCATGGGATATTAAATATGTCAACAAATTGTTTTCAAAGGACGCATACTTTGGTGCTGTAGCAAGATTAGGCACTTTCCCCATGAAATATTCCATGTGCCATTTTGAATCAGCTGATTTTACAGTTAAGTGAGGTTTTCAAATGAGGTTGTCCTTTTGATTGACATTACAAATATTTTAAAATAATTCATCTTTAGATGTATTTCAGAGGTAACAAATAGCAAGAATTAAAGCCTTGTATTGTCACCTATGTGGGGCCTAATTCTTTGACTTTTCTTTTTTTTAGATTATTATGATTTAATATTAGGCTGTAGAGGTAGAAAGGAGCTAAGAAATCAATATTTTTAAGTATTTATAATATTTCATTAATGTTGAATGATGCACCATAGAAAGTCACTTTTCAAGAATTCTTTCAAAGTTGCTAAGGGGTTTTGGTAAATGATTGTATGTGAATAATGATGATACTAGCAATTGTGCATTGTGTTGATGAATATCAGGACAGAATTATATTCTGGAAGCATTTGGTTTCTTTATCTTAATTGTATTGTAAATGTATGTTTTTAAAATAACTGCTTGGATAAATTACATGGACTCTTTCATTTTCAATCTACTTTAAAATGACTAAGATGACCTGTAATTAATTTGGAGGATCTAGGATAGAGAGAACATACCATTTTAATTCTGATTTTAATATTGGCTTATGTTTCTGACTTTAAAGAGTTGAGGTAGAAAACAACAGGAGTCACTTGGGTGGATGACATCAACCTTTCTGCAAAGTTAAGAAGTTAAATTGTGATTTTATTGAGAGAAGAACTGTGTTTTATATATCTTTGAATTTAGTCATTTAGTTCCTCTAAGGGAAAATGATAGGTGCTTGCTAAATATTTGTCGAATCAGTGAATGAATATGATTTTCCATTTCCATTTAATTCTTTAAAAAAGAATGCATTTAAAATATAGATTTGTGTAACACTAACATTCTCATGCCATAGCAACTTACGCTCAGGCATATGATAGTTCCCCAGGCAACTATCAGGCAATGATAGTTTCCCAAACAACAATATTTCTAAGTCAGAAAGTTGTATAAATCAGGAACTAAATCAACATCTTTCAGTCTACATTTTTTCATCCAAAGGTATTATTCCTGACCAAAAGTTATTTTTATACAGGTAACTAGTAAGTAGAAAAATGGCAAAGCTTAGCGCATAATATGATTACCTTAAAAGTAGAATTTTCCTTTGTATTAAGAATGGAAATATAGGATTCATTTAGTAGGCAGAAAGTCCATTCTCTGTTATGTGGATTGTTTTAAAAAAAATCTTCTATGCATGTCAAGGAGATCTATTTAGAGCTTATTCTTGAGGGATCTGTTCCTCAAACACATAGTTGCAATTAAAAAGTTTTCCAATTGTTTAATTTTATTATTTCCTGTTAATGACTAAAACCACTTATTCTCAGAAAAATTTGGAAACTTATGTAAATTTCTGATACTTTATTTTTTTCTATTACTTTTGTCTTTAGCATTTACTGTCATTGCTATGACATTTTGAGGTATTTTTAATTCTTTTAGATAAAATTAAGAAGTTTTTGATTCAAAATCTATAAAGAAAATTTAAATGGTTCATAATGCTTAAATATTTCAAAGTTTAAACATTCCATCTAAATAATCTGTTAAGAAATTAAAGTAATAAATGTGTCTAGTAAACCTCAATATATAAAGATATAAAATGGACAGTGAAATTCTCCATATCTCTTAGTTCTTCTGTTAAAAGATAATAAAATATCTTGTGTATTCTTCCAGGGTATATGCATATGTTAAAATATGTGTATATTTACATATCCATAGTTTAAAAAACAAATGGCAATTTCTGTGGCTCTTGCATTGTGAAAAGGGCATGCAAAACCACTAATCTATGTTAGGATTTTTTTCTTTTGCCGAAAACTGGCAGTCTTATTTTAGCAAAGTGCATTCTGATCCTATGTCTACAGACTCTGAGAGGAGATTATCGGTTTTGTCCCTAAATTCAAACATGAGTTCAACAAAAGACTTGAGCTATTCATAATGAATGCGTAGGAAAACTACCTTTGGGACTGGAGTTTCTAACATGGGAGTATTGCCCAGCCACTTTATACCCCCATTTGTGTTCTCGTAAGGTAATTTCAGTATTTTCTAAACCTAACTGGGAGAGAAATGGTTAACAAATGACTTTCCAGCTGGCCTCTCCAGTAGGGAGTAACATTTGCATTTGCCAGTAGAGGGTACCAGTTGCAAATCTGTGAAATAACCAGGCCTGACTCCAGAACTCTTGGCCAGAGGTGGAGCCACATGATAGGAGTGTGATTAACCCGTGATGCTATTCCTTTTCCCACTTAGACTTTGGAATACGAGCACCGAGGATAACTGATAAGCTTTGAGTTGTCAAAGCACCTGTATCACTCTTAACAAATGCTTTAGTCCTTGCTTGGTCTTGAATTAAGAATGCTTTTTGAAAGAAAATGATTTTTTTTCCACATTTAATTAGTTAAGTAATGTTGGATGGTCATGGTGAAATAATCCTAGTAGAGCTTATATTTTTGCTCTTTTAGAAAACACAATGGCTTAAGAAAGCACCTAACATTACAAGCATCTCATTTTTGTAAACATAATTTGGTATCATGGTTCTGAATTGTTTTACAAATGCTAGTAATGTGAACATCATCAAGCCATTCCTGTACCACATGTATTTGTAAGGTAAAGTGAGAATGATTCTCATCTGTCTCCCCTCACCAAATACAAGACATGGCTGTTGAAAGCATTTGCTTACAAGATGTTGTTTAATCTACAATTGTGACACTTCTTCTCCTTCCCGGAATTTTAAAGTTAGTGAGTGCTTGATTATAGTCTCAAGGTTTTAATTACAGAAATGGAATCAGTGTAATCTCAGAGAGCAGCTAACAGGTGTGATATTTTCTTGTCAATTCTTTGTACTATCAACAAATATTAGGGAACTCCTGGCATTACTAATTCATAGATATATATGTCAAATTAGGGGCCTTTCAAGTGAAAGAAATGCCACTCAGCAAATTGATTGGGCGATATTTGAGATACTGCACATTATTTCTGTGCCTGATGAAAGAAGTCTCCTGATATCAAAACCAGGCTTTAATAACTGCCAAAAGTAGAAGGGCCAATCCATATTACATTAGTAACCATTTTCTAACCATCATTAATTATCCTTTTGGTTTAGTAAGGTTCTACTGATGTGAATAAACATGTTATTGTCATGTGGGGAGATCTGTAAGCCTCACCAATTTCCGGAAAAAGAGTTCCAAGAAATCCAGTAGGGATACTTACTTTGTTTTCAAACCTGCCTCATTTTTTTCCTGGTAGAATAAAGAGAGTTCTCAATTTCTTCATAATAAAGTAACTGTTGAAAAAACATTATTCAGGCTGCCATATAAATTTATTTTTAAAAGTAGTGCATTTTATATTGAATCAATTTATGTGACCCTGATTCCAAACACTTAAGAAAAAGTCTTCAGTGACAAGAAATTTTCTCTTCAGGCTATACTATTGTAGGGTAACTGGGCTGGAGAAGAAGTTTCAGCCCTAGCACCTTACAAGGAAGTCATGAGGCCCATAGGGGACTTTTCTAATCATCATCATGCTCAGAGCTGTTCAGTTCAAAGACAAACTAACAGATGATCTCAACGAGTAGTTATTTAGTTAATCAGTGTGAATTTGCTTCAAACTTTATGGATATCAGAGTTTTGCTATCAAAATTTTTTCTTTGGGTAAAAATAACACTTTTTTGTCTGAGTACTTGAATGTGGCACCAAATGATTAGTTAATAGTCACAAAGAATGATTCCTCTATTGTTAAAATATTGAGTTGTTGGAAAAGTCATGACACATTTTCTCTGTTTTTCAAAGAAAAAATATGTTATAACTTTTCTTTTGTCTTAGTATAAGATGAATATATATGTTCATTGTAGAAACTTCAGAAGATGTAAACTTTAAGAGGTGAAATATAACAACTACCCATAAAAATCACAATGATGTTATGAGGGATTTTTTTCTTTTAGTGTCACTATAACAAGTTAGCCAAAGTACAACTAATAGTAGAACTTTAAGTCTATTGAACTACTAAGCACAGCACTTACGAATTTCCCTCATTCAAATCTGTTGGAGGTAATTGGTTATGGTGAATGTTCCAGTAATATCTGATATATTAGTGCTACAGAGAGAGCAACTATGCCTAAGCATATCAGCACTTATTTAGCTGACCACAATTTATGAGAGAGATACGTAATTTTTGGTGTCTTAGGAAGAAACACTAACCTTAAATATTTTGTTTGGAATTAACTTCAACATTTTTTGATTGCTGACCAAATGATAGAGTGAGAAAGATTGTAATTTCTTTAGAGGACAGAGAAAGTGCCCTAGAGGGCTTAGTATAGAATTGGCACCTGTAAATATTTGTTGATGATAAATGCTTGTTATTTCTATATAACCATGTCAAATTGGGGGCCTTTCAAGTGAAAGGAATGCCACTCAGCAAATTGATTGGGTTGTGTTTGAGACATTGCCCATTATTTCTGTGCCTGAATTGAATATAATTAGCTATTGGGGGAAAATGGCCAAAATTTTTTATGAAGTTATTTTGTACTGCTGGTTCAATAATTACAATTTTGACGGAACAAATATGTTATCAGAAATAATAAAGTGTTTCAAAATTTTTCTTGGTATATTTTTATCTGAATTTTTCAGTAGAAACATAAAATTACTTTTTCATATTTGTGTCCTTTATGGAAAAAACCCTTCTTAAATTGCACACTCCTTAAATTACAAAGGTAAGGAATGTGACAGCAGCAGAGAAACGGTCTCTATTGAGAAATCTTTAAAAAAAAAAAAAAAATTATTTATTTATTTATACAAGAACAGGGGTACAGGCCAGATGACAGATCGGAGAACAGAACAGGCAGACTGACAAAAAACACTGCTAAGGGGAGTAGCGGGCATGGCAGGAGAGGTCTGCACGCCATGTGGGACCCTCACCTGAGGCCGGGGATCGAACCGGTGCTGTAGAGGCTGTGGACAGCTTCACAGCGTGGCACTCAACTGCCTGTGCCACCAGGGGAGACCCCTGTTGAGAAATCTCTTGATCATGTTTTAATGATCATACCTGGAAGAAATGGCTATTTGTGTAAGTTTTAAGAGCTAAGGTGCAATAACTGGTCTTTCCACATTTAACAAAAATTTAGTGGTTCTCCTTTTATGTGGCAAGAAGACTCAAAATCCTAACTCAGCAAATAAGAAATTAGTTTATTTAGGTACCAGCATCTTATTTCCAGCCCTTTCATTCTAGGGTTTAACTTGGAAGTCATGCCTTACATATAGCTGTGCCCTTCAGACTCAGCCTACCAGAAGATTTAATTCCCTGGCACAGTGATTGGTTCAGGAAAGAGCCTCTGGACCTGGACCAATCAGAGGCTTTACTAAGACTCTTGCTAGAGAGATCAGAAAATGATGTCTTGCTGGGGTTAGTAGCCTCATAGTCTGCATGACTAGAACCAGAACATACGTCCCCAGGAGAGAGACAAAGCCACCAGGTTTCTGGAGCATGCAAGCCTAATACCAGCTGTACTCTGGACTTCCTTTTATGTGAGCCTATGAATTTTTCCTTTTTCCACTTATACTAGTTTGAATTTGGCATCTGTAACTCACAAATAGGAGGGTCTTAACATTATAAATAGAAAGAGGTGTCTTATAAATGAGCTGGAGATGTGGTAAAGATTAGAGTTGAACTTAATGATTAAAAAAACAATAAAAAGGATCAACAGAACAAAAAACTATTTTCTTAAAAGATTGATAAAAACCGACAAACTTCTGACAAGACTAATTTTTAAAAAATGCCCAAATAAACCATATTAGGGACAAAAAGGGGGCACTTGACTACAGATACAACAAAGATTAGAAAGATGCCTACAAGTGTAAAAATTTAGATGAAATTGTAAATTCTATTACAACATAGATGAACAAAACTGACTGAAGAGAAAAACACTACAAAATCTGAATGATTTTGTTACCACTAAAAGAAGTTGAATTAGTTTATAAAATTTTTCCCTAAAGAAAACACTAATCCAGTTGTTATAGGTAAACTTTATCAAACATTCAAGGATAGATATTTACAACCATATACATTATAGAGATAGATGTGCATGTATGTTATGTATACATCAATATAAACATTGACCAAATTGAATGTATTCTAGGAATGAGAAGTTGGTTCTACTTACGAAAAATTATATTTTACCATATCAGCAAATGGAGTAAGAAAAAATCATATATCTCATGCAAGCAGAAAAAATTCGGTAAATTTCAGCAGCCATATGAATCCCAATGTCACCTCAGTGAAGTCTTTTCTTGTCATTGAGCTTATTAAACACGTTACTCTCCATGTTCTCCAATTTCCCTTGCTTTGCTTTTCCCCATTGCTCTTACAATCTAACATATACTTTTTTGTGTTTAACTTTTTTAAAATGGTGGTAAAATAAACCAAAAATAAACAGTTTTTAAGCGTTCGATTTAGTGGCATTAAAAACACTTACAAAGTTATGCAATCACCACCACCATTATTTCCAAAACTTTTTCATCACTCCAAACATAAACTCTGTCCCCATTAAGCAATCCCCATTGCTCTTCACTCCCTACTCCTGGTAACCTATAATCTACCTTCCGTCACTATGAATTTGTCGAATATATAATGTACTTGTTTTGTTGTCTGTTCACTAGAAGTTAAGTTCCCTGAATGCAAGCATGTTAGGCTGTTTATTGCTATATTCATGGCACTCATGACAATACCTACCTTATTAAATATTTGTGGGGGGAAGGAAGAGAGGAAGGAGAAAAGGAAGGAAGGAAAAGAGAGAAAAGGAAGGAGAGAAGGAAGGAAACTGACTCAGCAAAATTAGCCTGTGGAAGGAAGAGCTTTTAGCAAAGTAGGACTAGAAGGAAATGTTCTTGATCTAATATAAGGAATATATATAAAGCCTTTAGCAAGTATTAGAGTCAATAGACCTTCCTTTAAAAACAAAATAAATGCAAATATGATTTCATTTGTTTCACTGCAGAAACTTGTAAAGGTAAGCAACATTTTGTTTATGATTCAAGCATATATATGATAAAAGGATAAATGACTAATGTAAAATTTAGGACCTTGGTTTCCTCTGAGGCAGGAGGGAAAGGGATGGGATTAGAGTATCATATAGGGTCTTCAGCAATAAAAATGTTCTTTCTCAAAATATGTGGTAGTGGGGCCTCACTGGTGGCGCAAGGGGTTGAGCACCACACTATGAAGCAATCCACAGCCTCTGCAGCTCAAGTTTGATCCCCGGCCGGCCAGGGAGATACCCACATGGCGAGGCAGACCTCTCCTGTCTTACCTACTGCTTCCCTCAGCAGTGTGTTTTGGTTGGTCTGCCTGTTCTGTTCCTCACTCTGACTCTGGTGAATCCTCTCACCCCCTGCACTCTGGCCTGTACCCCAGCTCTTGTATGCATAGATAAATAAATCTTTAAAAAAAATTATGTGGTAGAGATACAGGTGATCAACATTCTTTTATATCTACTCAGTATCAGCGGTTTTTAAAAATTTTAACCTATAACATTGAGTGAGAACATGTCAGATGAATGTATTATTTTTTAAATGTAAAATTCAAAATTGGTCAAAAATAAATTATCATTTGTTTGTACAACTTCTATATGAGAAAACTATAAAGAAAAGCAAGGAGTCCTAAACATAAAATTTAGGACAGCAATTACTTTTGGGGGAAGTGAAGATTTATGTGACTGAGAAAGACTTATACAGAGACTTTATTTTATTTTTAAAGATTTATTTATTTATGCATACGAGAATTGGATATAGGCCTGAGGTGTGGGGGGGTGAGAGGATTCACCAGAGACAAAGTGGGGAACAGAACAGGCCGATTGACTGAAATACACTACTGAGGGGAGCAGTGTGTAAAATAGGAGAGGTCTGCTGCGCCATGTGGGTCAGCTTCTTGTCTGGGGATCGAACTTTGTAAGTCTTTTCAAAGTGACTTCTTTCATTCAGTAACATCCATTTAAGTTTCTCCATGTGCTTTTATGGCTTGGTAACACATCTTTTTATTACCAAATAATGGAAAGGTTCCTATCACTATCACCATTGTCTGTGTGCTAGGGTTTGTTCTAAGTGCTTTATACACAAAATTTATTTAATCCTTACAACTTTATAAGGTAGGTATTAGTAATACCTGATTTCACACATGACACAGAGGACACATTTTACAAAACAGAAGAACTGAGAGCTTGTATAACTTGCCCAAGGTAACAAAGCTAAAAAATAGTGGAACAGGATTTAAACTCAGGTAGTTTGGCTCTAGAGTCCATGCCCTTAACCACTATACCACACTGCTTCCTATAAAAATGCCTAAAAAACGTTCAGTGCTTAATCTTATCAATTCTGTGCTTTACTCCCCAACTCTATTTGAAGTCCTCATATTTATCTTTTGTTTATGTTAATACACTTAGTTATCTAAACAGCAGAAACTTTTCCATTCAGCATATTTTTCCATATGGTGATTTATTATTTTTAAATACCTCTGAATAGTGAGAGCTTTTGAGCCTTTGCTGTATGTTGACTCTGCTAAGTACTTTTAATATACATTTTCTTAATCTTTAGGACCTCCCTTTGTAAAGGTGCAGTTATTATCTCCCAGGAAACTGGGGCTTAAAGGAGTTAAATAACTAGGTCATACTGCTAATAGGTGGTAGCCATGGGCCTAGAATCTTAATGGAATTATTCCAAAGTCTATGTTCTTAAAACTGCTGTTCTTAATTGCTTCTAATACTGTCTTTTGGTTGACTGAGTTTTTCAAATAAGAATGACATTTCTAAAATGAGATGAAACAAATATGGATATGTAAGAATGCAATGTGTATGTATATATAACAATGTTAAGGCAGCATTGTAATTTGATAGTTTTAAAAACAACAAATTGCTCAGAGGAACCCACACAAAAGTACGCTGCAACAGTTTTAAAAATGAGGCAGATCTCTATGTATTTGTATGAAAGATCTTCAAGAGGGAAAAAAGCAATTTGTAGAATAATGTATAAAGTTCCATTTATGCACACAAGCCAGTACCAAACTAGATGGCCAAGTATGTAATGAACAGAAAACTACTGCGGACATACTCCAAACTCTTAGTGGTGGTTTTCTCTGGGGAGGTAAGTGGAATGAAGAGTGAATGAAGGAGACTTTACTTATTAATCTGCATAAAATCTGTGTTAAAATGTAGTATTTGTCTAAAAATGTTAGAAGACTTTAAAAAACAAAAAATAGTCATACATAATCTGATTACAAAGTGTAAAAATGAGAAAAAGTTTGAATTTTATAATTCCTCTCACTGTTCATTAGATAATGTTTTTTTTTTTAAAAGATGTATTTATTTATGCATTCAAGAGCTGTGGTGTAGGCCAAAGGTGTGGGGAGGTGAGAGGATTCACCAGAGGCAGAGTGGGCAGCAGAATATGCAGATCTGCTGAATATACTGCTGAGGGGAGCAGCGGGTTAGGCAGGAGAGGTCTGCTGTGCCTTGTGGATAAGCTCCCTGGCTGGGGATTGAACTCTTGCTGCAGTGGCTGCCAATAGTTTCATAGCACTGAGACTTAACACCTTGTGCCACCAGGGAAGCCCAAGATAATGTGTTTTAATGTATAAATTAAACTGTGTAAAAAAGAGAACACAATGACACCAAGGAAAATCTGAATGCCTATTTTATTTCCATTAGAAAAATATTACTATATAAAATTTTGGTCCACTTCTCCTTTACCTCCAAAGTATTCAAATTTGAATACTTTGATTTTATTCAAATAAAAGCAGAATCATATATCTGACATGAGAACTAAATATTTCATTAATTAATAGGATTTAACTGAATTAAGTGTGCTTTTTATTATTTCTCAGGAGTGGTAGCTCATCTTTCCTACATGCTATTTTTCTTTACTTTTATTTTTTGAGTAAAGACGTACTGTGTGTCTCTTTACCCACATCCAGAAACATGAGTGTGCATAACTAATCTGTAATATCAGTAATAGGATTCATCATTTATGTTCAGTTACCCTTATTATATGGTATTTCTGTAATAACCAGATATTGTAGTCAATCTTACATTTTCGAGCATCAATTGTCAAAATTAAAATGTAAAAAATTATTAAAATTTCAGACTACAGAACACTGGGCACGGTTAGTCATGCTGTTGTGAGAGGTCCTTTGACAGCTACTGCTTCGATCTCCACGCGGCTTCCCTGCAAGGAAAATAGTAAAAGCGGTATTTAGATGATTTTTTTATGAATTAAGAGCGTGCCATAGTATCTTTTAAAAATATATGGAACAAACAGCAGTACAGAATTTTAAATATTAAACTGTTGAAGAAGGAAAGGAAGGGGGAATAATCACTAAGGACCTATGACAGGCCACGTTACCATACTAGGCATGTCAGTAGATATTAGCTCAGGTGATTCTCACAGGAACTCTGCTAGATAAGTGGGCTTTCCTCAATCCACAGAAAGAAGCAGCCTGGAAAGGTTAATTAATTCCATGTTCAATGGTCTTTTTGCTATATGTAAACCTTATTAAGTTTGAGAGTAGTGAAATTCCAAGTAATAATAAGACTATCATTCATAGAAGAATTAAATGTTCTTTAGTGGAAAACTGGAAATAAAAGTCAGCAAGAACTGCTTCTTTATAGGCAGGAATAGCGCTACTAAGGACCCCAGGAAGAGCTTCTCATCAGATCAAAATACTAGAATGGGAACAGTGAAAAATGTCAGCACTGTCGTTAAGGTTATTTTTCTAATGGAAGGTTTAGATATTTTATTATACAATAGCCAAGTGAAATTTTTGTTGTAGAACTCACAAAACTTGCTCAATTTATAGTCCCTAAATTTATGTATAACTTTATTTTTTTATTTTTTTAAAGATTTATTTATTTATTTATACAAGCACTGGGTACAGTCAGAAGCGTGGGAGGGTGAGAGAATTTACCAGAGCCAGAGCGGGGAGCAGAGCAGGCAGAAGGACCGAAGTACACTGCTGAGGGGAGCAGCGGGCGGCAGGAGAGGTCTGCGCGCCATGTGGGACCCTCCTCTGGTGGCTGGGGAGCAGCCGGGAATAGAACCAGCGCTGCAGAGGCTGCGGGCAGCTTGGCAACCCAGCACTCAACCGCTGCGCCACCGGGGAGGCCCTTATGTATAACTTCAATTTTTAAAACAAATTTTAAAATTTCTTAATTTGTACCCCCTTTTCCCCACGTGTATAAGACTGGGTATTTCCATTTAGACTTTTAAATTCTTCCCAAGTAGGGACTATTTCTTTTCTGTTCAAAATGTCCTTCTACAGTGCTTAGTTTGTTATATTACAGTGCTTATATACACATTTTAAAATTTCTAATAAAACAATGAAGAAATTTTAAAATGTACACATCAGTTATTTTGAAATGCACTTACTCTCGGCAAAGCAGCAACCTGGTAAGCAGCTCTAGCAGGAAAATGACTCTTGAAATCTAAATTTAAAAAAATATTTAATTTGCAGACATTGTAATGTTATTCAACACTGCATAGTCAAGACTCTGGTAATTGCTTCATAGATGATTTAATTCTTAGATATAAACAATGTTTTGGGTTTTTTTTTTTTCATTTTTGCACAATGTATGCATTTTCATTTTGGTTATATTCCCCATACAATTCCCACCCCCGTTATTTTGACCCTAATCCCTCCCCACTACCTCCACCTGTAGTGTGTCTCTGGCTTATAGTTGCTTGTTGATTTTGATTTTTTCTTTATTATAATTAGTCTTTTTCCTGGCCCCTTATTTAGGTTTTCTAAATTCCTGCTATGAGTAAGACCATCCGGTATTTTTCTTTTTCTTTCTGGCTTGTTTCGCTGAGCATGATCCCTTCCAGCTCCATCCACATTCATATTTGTTTGATAAAATACTTTGTCGTATGATTTCTATGATACCTTTTTAAATGGGGTTTTGTTTTTAAAGCGGTACTTACAAAATAGTTTTCTAAATAAAGAACAGCAGCCCATCTCAAGCAGTTTTGGTAGGGATTCTCTGCTAACTTTGTTCTTTCTACAAATATGTTTAGGAGAGAGTAAGCAATAATGCTTTTTCTGTGTTCCCTCTGTCTCATCTCACCAGATGGTAGAGACACCCATTTTCCCCAGCACAACAGTGTTAACAATAATAGATACTATTAATGGAGGGCTTACAATATGCCTGCATCTGTTCTAATCTGTTCACAGGCTGTCTTACCTCATTTAAGCATTCCAACAAGCCTATACAGCTTTATCCCCATTTTGCATATGAGGAAATCAAGGCATACAAATGTTAAGTAACTAACCAGGTTAATGATCCTGGGAGAGTGGGAACAGATGGTGGGTAGACTGTATCACAGCAATAACTACAACCTATGTGTTTAAAAAAATGACTAGGCAGTCTTAAGAAGCCTGAGAAAAGTGTAATGTTAAGCTTTAGGCAAGTGAATTTGTAGAATAGTAGTATATTATTCTAGGGAAAGCAATAGGGATGTCTTGGCTTTTTCACATGGGTGCATATTGTATGTTTCCAATTGGATTAATTCTTTTATAACAGGATCTGTGACTATTTAGCATCTTCTATCACTTAATTTATAATGGACACTCATTAAGGTTAATAGACTTATTTCTTGTTAATATGGAAAATAGAAATAAAGCACAATGACTTACACTGTTTGTAGATTTCATTGACAGTATTGAAGTCATTTATGTCAGCCAGCAAAACAGTTGTTTTTACCACTAGAAGACATATAATTGTCATTAAGTTAAGGCATTTGGCATGATTCAAAAAATGACTTAGAAAACAGTATATGGTTCTGTGTCTTAATTAAAATGTCACTGAAATTAAAATAACTTTTTACTTCAGTAGCATGACATACTACTGTTCTTCAGTAATACGCCACGTGTTCTTTAAAAAGACCAAAAAAATATCAAACAGAACTGTGAAGTAGTATCAAGTTGCTCACCATTAGTGAAGTCACAGCCCGCAGCTTTCAGAATTTCACCAATGTTTGTAAGAGCCTGTGAACCAAGGCAAAACAGGCCTAAGACACTGATATTATAAAGTTTTTTTTTTTTTTTTTTTTTTTTAAATATTTTATTTTATTTATTTTTTTTTTTTTATAGAGGCATGTTTTATTTATTTATTTATTTGTTTGTTCATTTGTTTTGTTTATACATGCACTGGGTACAGTCAGAAGCGCGGGAGGGTGAGAGAATTCACCAGAGCCAGAGCGGGGAGCAGAACAGGCAGAAGGACCGAAGTACACTGCTGAGGGGAGCAGCGGGTGGCAGGAGAGGTCTGCGCACCATGTGGGACCCTCCTCCGGTGGCCGGGGAGCAGCCGGGAATCGAACCGGCGCCGCAGAGGCTGCGGGCAGCTTCGCAACCCAGCGCTCTACCGCTGCGCCACCGGGGAGGCCCCTGATATTATAAAGTTTTAATTAAATCTAATTGATCATCTTTTACTAATAACTCCTTAAACAGCTTATATTGCAGAAAAATTCTCTTTTTTGTAGGCCAGTCTACTCGTTCCAGGCTGCCAATAGAAATGGATTGCTTCTTGACTTTTCTTTAGTGAAATGAATCTTTCTGAAATACAGTGAGAAGTTGTATCCTTTCATGAGCAATAAGACTCTTCCTCAGTGCTAACAAGTGTGATGCTCTGGGCCTATGTCTACTAACAAAAGTAGAAAAATTTTGTGGGGCTCCTACCTCCCTATCATTTCAAGGATAAAGTAGGGTGAGCTGGTAGCAGTAAAACATGTTTTCTTTTGAAACAATATTTAATTTGAAAGCATTCTTTTTTCTTTTTCTCAAAAAACTATAAAGGAAAGTTACATATATGCGTGACATCTGGTCTTGGGCAAAAAGATCAGTTTTTTACCCTGTCTTTTTCTACTTTACTGATATATTAAATATTTGATTCTATTTTTGTTTTTAAATTAACCTTCTAAACAGGTAGTGCATGGATTTGGCAAAAATTCAAAAGCTGTGAAAAAGCACAGATAGTGAAAAGATGTCTCTAACCCTTATTCCCCCCTTCCTGGTTTCTTTCATCAGAGGTAACCACTTTCTAATTTCTCATATATCCTTCCAGAGACAGTCAATGTTAGTAAAAGTGTAAACGTATATATCTTTAAACACACACACACACACACACGTGCACACACACACAGTAGTATATTGTACCCGTTCTCCTACATCTTAGTTTTATTTTATCATGTAACAATTTATCTTAGAGTTATTTTCATATTAATCTAGTTGTATGAATCTACCATGATTTATTTAATGAGTTCACCAATGGGTCGCTATTTAGGTTGTTTCTTATCTTTGGATATTACAAATAAGTCAATGAACGTATTAAATTATAATTTAACTATATTTACGGGATTAGAATTGGTTTCCCCATTTTTATTTTTTAAAAAAATACTGTGTATGCTATTTCTCTTACTAACAAATGTTGACTTTTACTTCTGTGATGGTGTTTTTTGTTTTTTTTTTTGAGAGCATTGGCCCTCATAAGAAAATTTCCCAATCCATGTGGAACTGGCAAGATGTTATCTGATTTCAATAATTCAGGTTTAGCGTCACCTAAGTGATAAGGAGGTGGATTTTTTTCTTTTTTGTGGTTGTTAAATGATTCATCAAATCTCTAACTTTCTGCTGACATAAAACCACCCTAAATTAAGCAGTAACTTAAAAGGTATTTATCTGTGAATGTTTATAAAACAAATCAGTTGAGTGGATTCTTAATACTTCTCAAAAAGTTGTATACAAAGGGAACTTCAAATGTGGAAAACGACCTACCTGTTTGGCCTCTGCTGCCACCCCTCCTGGCACAAGCTGTCCACTTGCAGGGTCGAAACCTACCTGTCCTGAAATGTACATGGTCCTGTCGACTAACACAGCTTGACTGCAATGAACAGAAATCCAGTGTATAAGTAAAACATAAAATTCAATGTTAGATCTCTGTGTTAGGATACACAAAGCACAAAATGTAAAATAAAAAAGTGATAATTGGATTTCATTAAAGTTAAAAAATTTTTTTTAAATTGAAGTAACACTGGTTTACAATACTGTGTATGTTTTAGGAGTACAGGTTCAAACGTCCTCAAATTAATGATACCACAACACACCCACCATCAGAGTACCAGTAATCCCCCACCACAGTCCATTAGACTCTCGCCACCCTTTGCTCATACCCCTTCATCCCTCTGGTAACCTCAGTTCTGCATTTAGACCTAAAGGTTTGTTTTGGTTTTATTCTGTCTGTTTCTTCTTTGCTTTGTTTCTTTATATTCCACATGAGTGAAATCCTCTAGTATGTATGTATCTTTCTCCTCTTGGATTTTTTGCTTAGCATATAAAATTAAAAATTTTGCTTATTTGAAAGACATCTTTAAGAAAATGAAAATGCAAGTCACAGATTGGGAGAAAATATTTGCAAAATATAAATCTACTAAAGGACTTTTATCCAGAATATATAAAGAATTCTGAGAACACAATAATATGAAGATGAACAACCCAATAAAAAATGGGCAATGGCTTGAACAGATACTTCATAAAAGAAGATATATGGAGAGCTAAGGAGTACATGGAAAGATGTTCAATATTATTTTTATTTTTTTAAAAGATTTATCTATTTATCTATACAAGCACTGGGTACAGTCAGAAGCACGGGAGGGTGAGAGAGTTCACCAGAGTCAGAGCGGAGAGCAGAGCAGGCAGAGTGACGAAGTACACTGCTGAGGGGAGCAGTGGGCGGCAGGAGAGGTTTGCGCGCCATGTGGGACCCTCACCCGGTGGCCAGGGATCAAACCAGCGCTGCAGAGGCTGCGGGCAGCTTCACAGCCCAGCGCTCAACTGCTGCGCCACTGGGGAGTCCCGATGTTTAATATTATTGATTCCACTTACATGAAATTCTAGGAAAGATCAAGTAATAAGCAGCAGAAAGTAGATTAGTAGCTATGAGTGGAGGGGGTAGGGGTAGGGATTCACTATAATGGGTATAAGGGAATTTTATGGGGTGATGAAAATGTTCTAAAACTTGATTGTAATATTGGTTTTATGACACTACACATTTACCAAAACTCATGGAACTCTACATTTAAAATGGGTGAATTTTGTATGTCACTTATACCCTGATGAAGTTGTAAAATAACAAATGCTTTGTCACTACTCTAGGAAAACAAGTGATTCTTCTCAGACAAGATAACTGCTTGTTGAAGGTTGACTAGGGATCTGCCTGTGAGGGTACACATTATTCTTGCCAAGTACTTATTTTAGGAACTGTTTCTATAATGATGATGTTTAAGTTCAGAATTAGGATAAAATCACAGGAAAAAAAAAACAGCTACACTAAGACCGGTAAAGAGCCAAACAAATGAACTTTAAAGGAAGTTTAATAGTCATTTTAAATTTGTAAGGAAAATTCATTTTACATTTCCATGCTTATTTGAAATTAAGGCTATTTTTATTCTAATCTAGTTCACCATATTTGGTTTTCCAACATACAAACTGTCCTATTTTTTATTTTATTAGTTCCCTCTGATTTTCTGGACCATATCTTTTTCCTTTACAATTTTAAACATAACACTTTCTCTCTTTATAATTTTTGTGATAAGTACATAGAAAGTCTAGGAATTCTGGCTTTCACTACGGTCTGCAAATAAATAACTATTGAGCTTGTTAATGTGTAAGCTTTTCTCAGGTTGAATAGTGTCATCAGCTAACAGTTTCTATTAGCTGTCCTATGTAGAATTAGGTCACTCTAGGTCCTTCACAACTCCTCATATTTGAAACAGTTAAAGCTCATATGTGTTATCACTGATCAAAGACTTTATGACATTAAAAAGAAACTGATTTATGCTCAAAAAATAAGGCTGGATGTCTAAGATTATCTGAGCTATGTGAGTTATCTCTTAGAATTAGTAAAAAAATAGTTCACAAAAATAATTAGATAGAAAACACTTACTGAGATTAAGATCCTACTACCCATAGATAAGTATTAGGTGCCAGGAAATTTTAAAGTATATTTTCTACTTCCAGGTCAAAGGGCAATAACACTTTCAAAAGCATCCTACCATAATTCTCATATCATAATCTATGCCCCATGGACTAGCACATCAAAATGTTATGGCTATTTGGATGTGTGCTAGCAAAATGGAAAACAACGCAATAGCAAACTGATGTCGAAATCTCTCAAGGTTCTGCCCTGGAGTATTCCTGAAATGTGCTGACTTGATTACTAATTAGTGACAACACCCCCATCCACCCCAATGCCAAGTACTGAAAGTTCAACACATTTGAATTCTTCCTGGAGAAGATCCAGAATTTTCAAAAAGTGTGCTCATTACAAACTATGCACAAAAACTTGTTTTCCAGTGATTCTTAAAATACATTCAGTTAACTTTATAAGGATATAAGTAGTTAGTTGAAGTGTGGTTTTTATCTTCAACATTAAACATTGAAAGTCAGCACCATTTCTAGTGGTCTTATATCATCTATGACACAAAAAAACCCCACAAGAGCCATAATGTCCTGCAAAGTCTCTACAAAATGACCCTGGCTGATGGCTTTTCTCTTGTCCTACAGGCATATTCATATAACTCTCCTTTTTTACAGCTTTATAGTTGACCCCACCAGCTAGCCAACCAGGGATATTACTATCCTGCTTTTTTCCTTCAACAAAGAACACACTCCAGGAAGGTATAAGCTCCAGCCTCTGTAATTGCATATGGGTTTTTTGTTTGTTTTGTTAAGGGTCACTTTTTTCCTGAAGTAAAATTATTGGGTAATTGAGGTGGAAGGATCAGGGGAGAAGGAAAAAGATTATTTTTATTTTTACTGTAACATCCCCTATCCTTATTGTCTTCTCTAAATTACTATCAGAATTTTCTTCTTAAAAGAGACGTCAGCATGTCATTTCCTGTTCAAAAATATTTGATGGCTCTGTATTGTCTACAAAATAAAGTTTATACCCTTCTATTCGGCATCAGAAACTATCAAAATCCACACTTTGCTAAAAGCTAATTTTTAGCAAAAGAGGCAAAACAACTCAAATTCAAAGTCCAACTCCTAACCAGTGTTTCATAAAGTATAATTTACACTGAATTAAAGTAAGGAAATGACTCTTTTTTCAATTCATTTTCAATTCTGTGCAGGATACAGCAAAGTAAATGCTTAAGAATGAATTCTGGAGCCTGCTGCCTAAGTACAAATTCTATCACACCATTTCTTAGTGGTATGACCTTGGGAAAATTAGTTAACCTTGAGTGCATCAGAAATAGTGCTGAGTAAGCATCAATAAATGTTAGCAATTATTACTTCAATCCTTTGATTAAAGAGAAAATAATATCTTAAGAAAACAAGTTAAAGAAATCTGTCACTTCTAATAGAGAGCAGGCCTCAGGTTCTTAGTCAACTAGTTTCTAGCTAGTCTTTAATCAAACATATTTAATAGAGTTTATAGTTTACTGTTAACTTTGTTATATAACAAAAATCCAACTGACTTAATTTCAAAGATCTAACTGGCTTTATTAAATAATTCATGTATCTGGCAGCATCCTTTCTAGCAAATAGAAAGGTGTTCCAAAAAGCTGTACAAAAATAAAAGGCTTTTATAGGCAGGAAGAGGGAAATACTTTAGGCTTAGTTAGGTAACCTACCTATGAGGAACGGATAAGGGTCATAAGACAGGTCTTTCATTTTTCCTTTGGTGCTGATCACCAAAATGGTCATACTACTGACCATTTAGGACTACGTTCCTGGGGGACGTCAAAACTGAAGTTAGGTGAGGTATTAGGTTTTGGTGGATTTAGCACAAGTTCCCTCCATTTGGGGCCTGTCAGTTTCTTTTTTAACACTTCTTTGTGTTTTCTATTTAGAGTACCATTATAAAGTTTCCTTTTTTTAATTTGTTAAATAAAGTGAGACAAAGAAAAATGCTAAAGTAAATTTTTAAATAGGTGGCGTAGATACTTGGTCATGAAAAAGCAAGAGTACCTGGATTACTAAAGTTACCTCCAAAAATTCCTTTGCCACTTATTATTCCACCTCTATGCCTCAGTTTATTTCCTTTAGCTGGAATGTCTATATCCCATGAGCTTCTGTTGAAATCCTTAACATACTAATTTTAAACTCTAATTTACAACAGTACTATGGATAGCAAACCCAACCTTCAATACAAGGAAACTTGCTATTTTAAACATTTTTTTTTCCTCTGCCCCAAGTTAGAATCAATTTCTCTCTTTCTTTTGCCAACTCCCCTTATGTGCCCTCAGTCCAACGCACTTTATTTCTAACCCTACTACAATAATAACTGTTCTGCCACACATAAGTGTTATTTCTCAAGGCAGTGTGGTATAAAGAGAACTAGGGCTTTATGTCAAGTTGTCACAGACTATATGACCTTGGATAGGTTCACCTTGAGCTTCAGTTTTTTGTACAATAGGGATGGGACTTAGAGAAAGTGGTTCACATGGTGCCATATAGCACGCACTAAGTGTCAATTTCTTTCCCATTGGACTGCTCCTTATACATTTTTGAACACTCCCTATGTAGATTTTTTTTAACAGTGAACCTATGCTATACAGTATATTCTAAAAAGGAAAAATAAAGTTTCAAAGCTGAAACATCTTAATAAAATAGTTTTTTTTTTTTAAAGGAATTAGGGCCTCCCCGGTGGCGCAGCAGTTGAGCCCCGACTTGTGAAGCTGTCTGCAGCCTCTGCGGTGCCGGTTCGATCCCCGGCCGCCGGGCGAGGGTCCCACATGGCGTGCAGACCTCTCCTGCGCTGCCCGCTGCTCCCCTCAGTAGTGTACTTCATCCGTCTGCCTGTTCTGCTCCCTGCTCTGGCTCTGGTGAATTCTCTCACCCTCCCACGCTTCTGACTGTACCCAGTGCTTGTTTAAATAAATAAATAAATCTTTTAAAAAGAAAAAGAAAAAGGAATTAACCTTTATATAACAGCTTTTGGTAAGTGAAAATGAATGTATACAGAGTAGAATTTCTGGGGAGTATAACACATATTTAGATGAAACATGTCAAACAACCTTAGAAAATAGCAATCATTCATACTTGATTTCATTAGTGGGAAATAAGCATGAGCAATGAATTCATAAATATCACAATGCATCTCTATATGTCTTGTAAAAACAAGTGTCTTGGGTAGAAGCGCAGGGATTTGCTAAGCATTTCTGCGAAAAGGACGCAGTTCTCCCCAGAAGGACACTCACATCTGTTGATGGGATTTATTTCTTCAATTAAAAAATGGTTAGATCAGGGCATCCCTGGTGGTGCAAGGGCTTAAGATGCAACCTATGAAGCTATCCGCAGCCTCTGCAGCACGAGTTTGATCCCTGGCTGGCCAGGTTGCTACCCACATGGTGCAGCAGACCTCTCCTGACTCGCCTGCTGCTTCCCTCAGCAGTGTACTTTGGTCAATCTGCCTGTTCTGTTCCCTGCTCTGTCTCTGGTGAATCCTCTCCCCACCCCCCCCCACACCTCTGGCCTGTACCCCAGTTCTTGTATGCATGAATAGATCTTTTTTTTTTTTTTTAAAGAGAGGGTTAGATCAAACTTTATGCCTAGTGAAAAAAAAGTCAGTCAAAAGACCACATATGCAAGATTACGTTCATAGGAAATGTCAAGAACAGACAAATCAACAAAGACTGAAAATAGATTATTGGTTGAAAGAAACCCTGTTCCGCCCCGGAGTGGCCCAGCCCCGAACCCCTGACCCCCAACACGCCTGGGGTCCTTCCGCACTCCCACATGCTTCGTTACCTGTAGGGACCAATGGCCCCTGGGGCTTTCGTGGTGCTGATCACCTTTTTGATCAAAGACGACATGGCTAATCCTCTTCTTTTGCTTCCCCTCGGAGAGAACAATACCGTACACTACCTCGGCTCGCGTCTCACCAGACTAACAAGACAGGGACTGAGTCTTTGCAGTAATAAGTCCCCAGGAGTGGACTCGCGTGGCATTCTGGGAGTTGTAGTCTCTGCGTAACTCCCGGACACGTGGACGCAGAGTCTTCAGTGGCGCATGCGCCTTCCAGCTCTCGCGCTGCTTGTGTCGCTTCGGAGGCGACTGTCGCAGAGCCTTGTCATCCCGACCCTGGGAAGCCCGGCTTCCTCCCTCAAAGGGTCTGGCAGGTAAGTCGTGAGGGCCTGGCGTCCGCCGGAGTCCGGAAGTTGGGGGAAGTGTGTGTGGTGGCCCCCACCTGGCACCGGCTCGGTGGCCGGGGTCTCCTCCCCATCGTCTCTCCCCCCACGCCGGACCCCACTGATCTCCTCTTCCCTGCTGCCCGCGTCTGGGCCTCTGTTCGCAGCCCCGCGCCTCCGTCGGCCTCTGCTCGTGGGCTTCCTACTCTGTCCTTGCCCGGTGTTGCCCCGCTGGGCGGAGGCCGTCCTGGGAATAGGCTTGCCCCCTTTCTGCTACCCTAAAGGAATAAGATGGGTAATTCTGGGGACCTCGCCGAGATCTGGATGTTGTGCACCTTCCCGCACCTCCCGTATCCCCTTCTCTTGAGTGCTCCTAGAGCTCTGTGAAGTCTCTCCTCCCGAGCAGAGAGCCCTAGTGAGTGGGATCTGATTTTTTGAAAGTCACCGATTTTGGTCATGCCAGTGGCCCCAGACCTGGTTTCTTGGCAGATAGCTATGCTGTGTCAGAAAGGATGGCACTCGATTACGTATTTTATTCTGTTAATAAATTCATTATAGGCGCACTTCAGGCCACCTATGCGAGCACGTGTACTTTCACCAAATACGTATATTGAGCCTGCTCTTTGCGCAAGGCTCTCTGCTGGGTACTGGAGATGCTTGAGATCTTTGTTCTGTCCTGCTTCTGAAACATAATATAGGAAAATCCTTTATTTCCCCTCATTTTTCCTACATACAGCTGACTTACTGCTTTTCTACTTGCGGATGAAGAACCTTCCGTGATTTTTCGTTGGTTTAAGGATGTATGGAATCAGAATTTCCAGTCTGGCCTGCCCTGGCCTGCTCAGTTTAATCCTCTTCTACTCTCTTCCCATTCTAGTTGTCCAGAGTTGATATTTCTGAATTTACACAGTACATTCCTGAATAATCTTTTCTTCCCTATCCAGATTACAACTAACTGAAATATTTTCTCATTGACTTTTCCTGTGGAGTCACATGTTCTCCTTTTGCAGTTTTCTATTGTGCTATACTACAAAACTTAGAGTTTTATCATATGCAGTCTTATTCTCTAATGGTTCTGCGTTTTAAAATTGTGAGTAGGGCCTCCCTGGTGGCGCTGTGGGTTGAGCGCCGCACCATGAAAACTGCCTGCAGCCTCCGTAGTGCAGCCTCGGTAGTGCAGGTTCAATCCCAGCCGGGCCGCCAAGAATCCCACATGGTGCAGCAGACCTCTCCTGTCTCGCCTGCTGCTCCCCTCAGCAGTGTATTTCTGTTGTCTGCTGGTTCTGCTCCCTGCTCTATCTCTGGTGAATCCTCTCACCCTCTTGCGCCTCTGTCCTGTACCCCAGCTCTTGTATAGAAATGAATAAATCTTTAAAATATATATATAAAATAGAATTGTGAGTAGATATAAAAGTATGTATTTGTGAATACAAATACCAAATTTTCTCAGTTCTAAAAGGCATATTCTCAGCTGTGAAATCGAATGACTCTTACAATAAATACTCTCTAGTATTTAAAAAAAAAAAATTGTGAATAGAACCAGATTGCCTGGTTTGAACAGTCACAACAAGCATAGTGGCCGTGGGCAGGTTATGTTACCTCTCAGTGCTTCCATTTCTGCATTTGTAAAATGAGGATAATACTAGTACTTCCCTCATAGAGCTATGAGAATTAAGTGAGCAGGGCATGTAGGGAATAGTGGCTAGGACATAGAGTTCTCAATAAATGTAATTTGCCTAAAATGATTAAAATTTTTTAGAGGCCACATCCTTATATAACACACAGCCTGAAACAGCCCAACTCCCAGCACATAACAGGTACCTGAAAGCTTGTTAATTTTGCTTAAATTGAATAGAATGGGGGTGCTTTTTATTTTTAAACTACAGTAGTTCCCTCCCCCTGCAGTCAATTATTGCCCAAAAATATTAGTACCATATTTTGAAAGCATAGTCATGAGTTTTGTTATAGTATATTGTTAAAATTGTTCTGCTGCCCAAAACCAAGTATTTGTTCTGCTTACCCATAACCAAGCATTTACTTGGTTATGAATCCCTGCTGGAGATCAATATCATGATAATATTTTATATCATCATATCTTCTATAATAGAGATTTATTATATTTATTATACCATTGTACAAATATTCATTAAATTTAGTAATGAATTCATTAAATTTAGTTTTAGTTAATGGAAATTCTCTTTCACAGTACTAAATGCATTATTTTCTTTCCAGAAATGTCTAACGCAAAAGAAAGAAAACATGCTAAGAAAATGAGAAACCAGCCCACCAATGTCACTTTATCCTCTGGCTTTGTGGCTGATAGAGGTGTAATGCACCATAATGGAGGCAGAAAACATTTTCAAGCTCAGAAATCAGGTAAGATACACATGATCTCTCTCTATTCCCATTTGGATCAGGTTACTTTTGTCAACTCCTTTTGAGTAAATGAACTGAATTTAAAACGGATACAATTGGCCCTCATCATTTGCTATTTTCATATTTACAAATTCATCTCGTCATTGGCATTTGATACTAAGGTACTTGGGTGGTCATTGGTGGAAAGTGCAGGGTGGGGAGAAAATTTTGAGTCACTCCAAATGGGTGTTCCCAGTTGCCTTGTTTCAACTTTCATCCTAAAATGACAGAAGGATGGAGCTAGCAGAGGGCAGAGCAGCATAGTGCAAGGAGCTCCAGTTCTGACTGGGGTTTAATTCTAATTGTGGGTGGCCTTAGACACATCACTTAACACTTCTGAACCTCATTTTCTTTTTGTAAAATAAAGGAATTAGAATCTACCAGGATGCCTTGTTTTTATGATTTAAGATTATAATCTGTGTGAGATTTTTATGTTCAGTGTTTGTTATGTCCTTTGTGACTTTATAGAACATAACTACTGTTACTAATGAGAATCAGCTCTATTTAGAGCTGTTGTATTTTTCTCTACCTAATATCAGTGACTAACTGATATAAACTCACAGTGTCAAACCTTGTAACTTCTGTATTTCCTAAAGGAAATACAGTGCAGTCCTCATACCTGCATTACCTTGTATATTGATTTTATAACCTCATTTAAGAAGAAGGTAGCTGTTCATTGGGCAGCAGTTCAAAAGCTCAGGTTGGGAAGACAGCAAGCAAGTGACCAAGAACTTTTTGGGGACACTTAAAAAGAAGTGTGGGGCCTCCTTGGTGGCGCAAGGGGTTAAGCACAGCACTATGAAGTTATCCACAGCCTCTGCAGCATGAGTTCGATCCCTGGCTGGCCAGGGAGCTACCCACATGGCGCAGCAGACCTCTCCTGTCTCACCTGCTGCTCCCCTTAGCAGTGTATTTCAGTCAGTCTGCCTGTACTTTCCCCCCCTCTGTCTCTGGTGAATCCTCTCACCCCTTGGCATCTCTGGCTTGTACCCCAGTTCTTGCATGCATAAATAAATATATCTTTGATTAACACTACAGCTGAAATAAACAGGAATACTGAAATTCTCTACTGGTCTCTTCATTCAGTACAGGATTTGATGTTATCTTAAAGTCAGAATGGTTCAGATGCCCAGACATTTGTATAAAGACTTTGCTTGTATTTCTTTCTTTAATTTAGCATGGTGGTACTCGACTTGAGTACAAGAGACTTACAATAAAAGACTGAGGATCTTTTATTGTAGTGGATTATAGTGTTTAAGGGAATTTAGATTTAAAACCATGTTGCATGTACAGGAAATTTACCTTGTATCTCTTCTTTGATGTGTTCTTTCACATGTCCCACTGACACGAGTAGTTAATATGCTGCCTCCTAGCTCTATGTCCTTGGGCAACTTAAATCACCTCCCTGCCCAAGATCCTGATTCCTTATAGAGCAGTTATAGGGGGTTATAGGATTAAAACATGGTCAGTTTTGCCATCTCACAAATACTAGTTACTCACTAGAATACTTATCTCTGAGAAGACTGACATATTACTTTTTGTTTTCTTTTTGAAATATGCTAGAGCCTCATTCTGGAACTTCAAGACATCGTCAAACCAAAATGACTCACCATTCACTGCCTGATCCTGATGCAAATGAGCAGTCTGCCTCCAAAGTCACCTTTAAAAAAAAGGGAGGATGGAAAGCAGGTCCTGAGGGTACTTCTCAGGAGATTCCCAAGTATATAACTGGTAGGTATTTGTACAGAAGTGCAGTTTGAGGGTACTTGCACTCTTTCTTTGGAATGCAACCAGAATTCTTTTCTTCTTTTGTTGCAATCAGATTTGTAATGCCCTCTGTTTTGTCTTGGCCCTTCCTCCCCGTTCTCTCCTCTCTTCCTTCCCCTCTTACTTCCAACCTGGAAATTGGCCATAACCTCCTTGCCTCTGATTGCTCTCCTCTCTCCCCATTGTCTTGTAAGTCCTTATATGTGAACTGTTTATCTTTGTCTTAAATCTATGCTGCTCCTCTTTTTTAAATATAAAATGCTGTCCATATCCCTTAGTACTGCATTATTCAAAGATGGAATAAAATTTAACTTTCTAAGGACAACCAAGACCTTTACCTGTCCTCCAGGCCCTTTTCAGCCTCATATCTTGATGCCCCCCCAGCACCCTCACACCACTACCACATACCCCTGTGTTCTGTGTGCATACTTGGTATGCCTTCTGGTCCCCTTATGCATTCTCAGAAGTATTTTTTTAAATTTTCCTAGCATTCTGTTTATTCATCCCAAAAAGGCATATTTTTTAGTAAAGAAGACTAATAATAGTAATGGCCACATATTTGGAAAAAAAGATCTTGGAGTTGAAACTATTGTTAAAATTTAGTTTTTTCTGTTTTATTTTGTGATTACTGTACTTATAAATGGTCATGATTATATTGCACATATATTTGAATGTAGCCCTCTGTTTTAAACAACTCTTTGCAAGCTTGTTGAACTTTTTCTGATTAGAAAGATAACACTGGATCCTTGTGTAAAACTTGAAAAATATGTAAGTCAAAGAAGAATACTTTCGCAACTGTATAACAGAATTAAGCACTATTAGTGTTAATCTATTCAGGGATTGGAGAGTAGTGGGTGAAGAAGTACTTCAAATCTTTCTTCTGAAATCCACTAGAAAAAGTTGCGATTCAGGACTCATTTTTAATGACGGTGCTGTTTTCTTCAACAGCTGCTACATTTGCTCAAGCCCGAGCTGCTGAAATCAGTGCCATGTTGAAAGCAGTGACCCAGAAGTCCTCTAATTCACTGGTTTTCCAAACTTTGCCACGTCACATGAGACGAAGAGCCATGAGCCACAATGTCAAACGCCTTCCTCGACGGTTACAGGAGATTGCCCAGAAAGAGGTAGACATTTCACTTAGTGTAAATATGTAGGGAAGTAGTTCCGAAAAGAAATTGAGAACTATTTTTTTTTTAAAGATTTATTTTATTTATACAAGAGCTGGGGTACAGGCCAGAGGTGCGGGAGGGTGAGAAAATTCACCAGAGACAGAGCAGGGAGCAGAACAGGCAGACTGACTGAAAACACTGCTGAGAGGAGCAGTGGGCGAGACAGGAGAGGTCTGCCGCGCCATGTGGGAATCTCTCTGACCAGCTGGGAATCAAACCGGTGCTGCAGAGGCTGCAGACAGCTGTGCTGTCTGCACAACACTGTGCTCAACCCACTGCGCCACCGGGGAGGCCCAAGAAATTGAGAACTATTAACTGAATAGAATTTATTAAAATGAAAAACAAAGCAAAACAAAGTTCTCATTTCACATGTATTTTGGCTTAATCATTATTCATCTACTCCTTTCCTCTCCAGATTAATAGGCCATTGGTAATTACAGCTGCTTTTAATACAGCATTTGGAATCCCTTTCTTTTAATAGTATTAAGTAGTTGATATTCCCCTGGTAGATTTAAAACAAAGTTCTGACCTTCTTACCAGGTATGCAATTTTAGCTGTACTTTTGGGGATATGACCAGCTTATAGTTTAAAAGTTAAGCAAAACAGTATTTGTTTTCTGATGTTTTCAGAGTTGAAAGCTTAAACATGGATTTAAATCTTGTTCAGGTCTAATTGTGTTTGGTTTCACCAAAATTCTTGGCTTAAACATTGTCTAAGATAATCATATCTTTACTAATTGATTAAAAATTTCTTTGTTGGGGCTTGCTATGTACTTGTTCTATGCTGGGGGTGGGGTTGGAGTTCAAGGTGAAGTCCTTATCCTTAAGGGGCTTACAAAGTAATGGAGAAGTGTTTTTTTTTTTTCCCATAAAAATTTCGCTTGACTGTGGAAGAGATTAAGAGTAAAAACTAACCAGGAATATGGTACTTTTCAGATTTAATATAAAGTCTCTTTCCCAATGAGACTGTTTAATAATCTGTTCTGTCGATTCCTGACTGACATGAAATGTGTTTCTTTCCCCCCATTTTGATATTTTGGTCCTAAGTTCTTAGAGGTTAAAAATAAAACAATAAAAACAATAACAAACAACTAACATTTGATATATTCTCTCTTGGACTCTAATATTAAAAGCCACAATAAGCTTGAGTTACTGTTTTGAACACTTTAAATATTCTAATCTTAATAGTTCATGAAGCTTGCTTGCCCTCTTAGTAAGTGCTAGAACTGTGACTCCTTCCTAGGTTTGCTTGCCTCTAAATTCTTTATTTTTCTACTGAGGCCTCCCTTCTCTTTCAATGGAGAAATAACCAAGTTAAAACTGAAGCAAGCTAGTAGGATTTATAAGGTATTCTACTTAATCTAGAATTAGTTGCGTGAATTCCTAATATTTAACATGTTTTGAGATGGCTAAACTAGGATCTGCCTGTCTTCTTGAAAATACAGGCAGAGAAAGCAGTACATCAGAAAAAAGAGCATTCCAAAAATAAATGCCATAAAGCTCGAAGATGTCATATAAACCGGATGCTGGAATTTAACCGTAGACAAAAGAAGAACATATGGTTAGAAACTCACATCTGGCATGCCAAGCGGTTTCACATGGTCAAGAAGTGGGGCTATTGCCTTGGAGAGAGGCCAACAGTGAAAAGCCACCGAGCCTGCTATCGAGCCATGACCCATCGTTGCCTCCTCCAGGTATGCTTTTCCGATTGGCTTTCTTTCTTCTTCTTCTTCTTCTTCTTCTTTATACTCTTTCTGAACAGTTCATGGTATGACTTCAAGTAATAATCCTTGTCTTGGTGTCCTTTTCTGTCTAATTAGACAACAGTAAGACCTTCAGGTTCATCTGGTATTGAGAGCGTTAAATAACAATCCATGTGAGGAGTTAGCCCAGTGCCTGGCACCCACTTACCCATTAGAGACTAGTAAATATTATTATAATTCTTTAACATACTGGTTTTTACTAGCTCAGTCTGATAACTCTTCATCTTATTTAAATTGGTAAGGTGTTTTATTATTCTTTTTTTTCTGTATACATTGCACAAAGTTGCACGTAATAGCCCAGACTGAGCAGGGGAGGAATATAAACTAAATTAATTTGAAAATGTATCTCTAGGCTCAGTCGTAAGTAATCTTGAGGTCCTGTATTAGCTAGTCAAAGTTAACCTCAACATAAGTTTGCTTATTCTATGCTGATTTCTTAGTTTAGGTAAATTTGGGGGAGGAATAATCCTTTACTTAGAGGCAACAGGTTTTATACTCTCCATAGAACTTAAATTTTCCTTATAAATGTAGGACACTATAACTTATATCTTAAATGGAAATTCATTTTAATTTTGGCTCAAATTGGTTTAAGAATATTTGCTAATATAATAGGAATAGGCAGGTTTCAGATTTTGACCTATGAAGGCTTAGCAGTTTGTTCTGTGTCTTGAACTACTAGAAGTTTTTCTGATGTACCTCTTGGCTTCCTGTAGTGTCCCCCTCATGTAAATTCCTAAGTATTTAATTGTGTCTCTCTCTTTATGCAGGATTTATCCTACTACTGTTGTTTGGAGTTGAAGGGCAAAGAGGAAGAGATACTAAAGGCACTCTCTTTAATGTGTAGCCTAGACACAGGTAAACTTTCAAAGCTAAGTTCTGTTTTAGGCCTTGCATATTTATTCATTTCATGAACAAATGTCTGCTCTAAGCATTTTGGAATTTAAACATATATAAAAATATGTGAGATAATTCTTATTTCCAGTGACTGTGGTAATATAAGGAAAGCTGGGGTGGTTTTAAATAATTCTGACATTGTCAAGTGTAAAGTGAGAGAACCACCTTCTGGTGCAGTGAATTTAGGCAGGAAGATACTGAAAACTCAGTAAATCATTGATTTAGGAAGTATTTATTCAGAACTTACTGATCCAGGCAGTGATCAAAACCTAAATCTCTTCGTTGTGGAGGGTGACAGTAAAACAAATGTGGCTCTCAGGAAAGCAATGTTCAGTGTCACTACTTGAAATCATGACATGTTGGTTTCATTTATTGGCAGGATTGACTTTTGCAGCTGTTCACTGCTTGTCTGGGAAGCGCCAAGGCAGTCTCATGCTTTATCGCGCAAATAAGTACCCCAGAGAAATGCTGGGGCCTGCTACATTTATTTGGAAGCCAAAGAGGGCTGACACTTCTGAGAGCAGGCAGCTGTGGATCTGGCTTCATCCAACTCTTAAACAGGTAAACTCTTAAGGTGATTTCCCTGTCATAGTTAACTGCTTACTGTTGGAAAACAATACCATAGAAATTAAGTAGTATAAAAGGCTTTCTGATAGCTTGGTGTTTGAATATGATAGGAGAGTTATGTGACTATTTAGTGAAGGAAATCTTGACCCGGCTGTTTTTTTTTTTTTAGAGGCATGTTTATTTATTTGTTTGTTTGTTTTTTGTGTGTTTATACATGCACTGGGTACAGTCAGAAGCGCGGGAAGGTGAGAGAATTCACCAGAGCCAGAGCGGGGAGTAGAACAGGCAGAAGGACCGAAGTACACTGCTGAGGGGAGCAGCGGGCAGCAGGAGAGTTCTGCGCACCATGTGGGACCCTCCTTCGGTGGCTGGGGAGCAGCCGGGGATCGAACCCACGCCGCAGAGGCCGCGGGCAGCTTCGCAACCCAGCGCTCAGCTGCGCCACCGGGGAGGCCCTTGACCTGGCTGTTTTTAGGAAGCCCTCAGTAGGAGTAGAGACAAAAATCAACCTTATTGTGCAAGTGGCTTGAAATGTTGTGTTTGGATGAATGCTTCCACTTTGCCTGAATTGGGTCATTGGTCTCTTGGTGCTTGTTAGAGGCTTTTTGAAGATGAGAAATTGGTTTGAGCAATTTTGATAATTTTTAAGATTGCATTGAGCTTACCCCCACCCCTTTTTTTGGGCATACTAACTGCTTCTATACAATAGACTCTAAATTTTCTCTTTAAATTTGTTCTTAAATTTGGTCAGATTAGTTTATTTACTTAGTGAAGGGATAAAAATGTGAATTTTTAAGAGAAAAAATTACATAAATAAAACCAATAAATAAAATGTGTAGTGTACAAGTATCTAAATTTAAAAGTAGTGTTTAATTACGTTCTTAGGATATCTTGGAGGAGATAAAGGCGGTATGCCAGTGTGTGGAACCGATCATACCAGCTGTCTGCGTCTCTGACCCCTGTCTGACAGCAACCCAAGAGAAAAGCCAAACTGAATTGTCTAATGAGAAAATTGGCAAGAAAAGGAAACGGAAAGATGATGGAGGAAATGGTAAACCAATTAAAAAAGTTTGCGGTGATGGAACTAGAGATCCACAGCAGCCATATTCTTGGATCTCTCCAACCACAGACATTGTAATCAGGTATGGGTTGGATTTGCTTTGAATATTTTCAGTGAAGACTTGCTTTATTTTTGCCATGGCACAGACACTGGATAGGTTTGGGAGTTTCCATTTTAAGACTTTTTCTCTTTTTCAGTGATTTGTCAATGGAGATGAACAGATTCCGGCTGATTGGTCCACTTTCACATGCCATCCTAACCGAGGCACTAAAAACTGCTTCTGTCCACACCGTAAGAGTAAACATGACTGCAGTGTACTGTTTTAGTTGAGTCCTTCTCAGCAAACTTGTGAAATCTAATATATAATGCCATAACATTTTGCCCCATGGTTTATAAATGTTTTTTTCCCTACTCAAGATTTTGTTATCTTTTACAAAGAAGAACAGATCTAAGTTATTACTCAAGATTTTGTTATCTTTTACGAAGAACAGATCTAAGTGAATAAGTAATATGACTTTTGTTCTGATTGAAATACTGTCATAACTTGTAAGGCTGGTAAAAAGGTCTTAACTTCTGCCCCATAGAGAGTAACAGGGAAGCCCTAGAGTCTCCGAAAGTGTTTGCCAATTTTTTTTGTTTGTATTTGTGTAATGCATATTTTCTGGATCCAGTTTTAATGGTCTGTCCAATAGAACTTTCTGCAAGAATGACATGCCTTGGTGCCATTCAGTACCGTAGCCACTAGCCACATTTGGCTGTTGAAATGTGGCTAAAAATTAAACTGAAAATTAAATTTGAATATCTGTGTGTGACTTGTGGCTGCCATGTTGACAGTGCAGGTGTAGAGAGCAGAGACCAGGTTAGGAATCCGACTCACTGGGTCTGGGTTCGGTTTGTTTCCCTCTATTAGAGCAGTTAACCTTCCAGTGGTGCCCGTGCCTCTCACAGATTTGACATGGCAAATATGGTGATAAATCTGTTGAGATTTTAAACTTTTAGAAGAAAGATAACTTTAAAAAAAAAAGGCTACATCTGTCTCTCTTCACTACCTCCTCACTATTTCTCCTGCCTGAATTCTGAAGCAGCTTTTTCCTTTGATGTGCCCCTTTTACTCCATTCTTCATTGCAGGAGGCTGGAGGCAGAAAGGCCTTTTAACGGTTCATTTACTTTGCCCTGCTTCCTGATTGAAAGCTTTTGATTAGCTTCTCATTGTACTAAAAAAAATTCAAAGCCCTTGATGTGGCTGAGTAATCTCATCCTTTTCTGCCTCTCTGGCTTCATCTTTACTCTCTGCTGCATTTAAGCCTCACTGACCTTCTTTCAGGTTCTAGAATATGTCAGTTCTCCTCTCCCTTAGAACCTTCACACCTGCTTTTTTCCCATCTGCCTAAACATTCAACCTCCTACTACTGTTTGCTTTACTAAGCCTTCCTTACTCTTCAGGTTTCAACATCTATATCATTTCCCTGTAGAATTCTTTCCTGATCCCCCAAATTAAGTTATATCCCTCCTGTCATTTTCATTGCAGCCGGCACATTTCCTCAATTTTATGTCTAGATTTATTTGTATATTTATGGAATGTGCATGTCTCATTAGACTGTGAGCTTCATGATGTAAGGACAGGGTCATTCGTATTCTTTGCTCTGCCCCCAGTGCTTAGCATAGTGTCTGGAACAGAGTAGGTGCTTCATTCTAAGCAAATAAATTGTAGAGAGAAGAATTGAATCTAGGGAGTTTGGTCTCAGAGCCTGTACTTTAAACCACTAAGCTGTGCTTTCTGCATTTCTGTATGTTAAATGGTGCGTATGTCACAGGTTGTTTCTGCAGAATCTGTAGAAGCACATCCCACTTCACTGAACTTCACTGATTCATGTCTGTTTTCTTGGGCCTGCACAGGAAACTTTGCTCAAAAGAAACTTTGCTTTAAAGAATAAAACATAAGTTAAATACTTACGTATTTTATTTGAAATTTCCATGAATACTGTAATCAAAACATATATATCCTTTAGCTGAAAGTTTCTTTAAAAGGTATGGTTTGTTTTTTCCTTGGTGAGGAGGGTTTTATTGCTTAAATTGGTGATGATGAACTTGGCAATTGTGGGAGAAAAGCAGGAAACAAAGCCTTTTGTAGTTACTCTACTGGAGAGAGAACACAGGTGTGAGTAGCGTGGTTAGGTAGCTCTCTGAAAGCTGTGCACATTTTTCTTAAATCTTTTTTTTAAAGATTTCTTTTTATTTATTTATGCATATGAGAATTGGAGTGTAGGCCAGAGGTACGGGATTGGGGGATGAGAGGATTCACCAGAGACAGTGAGGAGCAGAATAGGCAGATCTGAAATACACTGTTGAGGGGAGCAGTGGGCGAGACAGGAGAGGTCTGCTGTGCCATGTAGGTTAGCTCCCTGGCCGGGGATTGAACTTATGCTGCAGTGGCTGGCGATAGCCTGATTGCGCTGAGACTTTAACCCCTGTGCCACCAAGCAGGCTCCTTTTATTAAATCTTGAGAAAGTATAATAAATAACTTTATCCTTCCTGCTAATTAGAAGAGTAGTTAGTCTGCTGTTAATTACTGTGTTTAATGTAGTGCAATTTCCCTGGCTCCCCCCATAAAAATGTTCATTCCCACATGCAGAATAAAAGGGGGGGGGCAATATTAATCATATCAAAATTATTACGTATGGTTGGCTATTTGTCTGGTGAACAGGAGTTATTTTTCAGGTGAGTGAAGACACAGAGAAGACACCTCACCAGTGGTGGATTGACACCTGTAAGGATCCTGATAGTGTTTCTCTTCATCACAGACAAGAAGCCATTTTTGAATTGTTGGGAGGTATACAGAGGGAAGACTGGGTTGTGTGAGGGTAGAAGGGAGGAGCAGGAAGTGGGTTAAAAGAACATTTTGCAGTTGGGCTACCTGCACATAGTGGTGCTTTTTAACTTCTAATGGTTTGTTAGAATAAAGAAAGCAGTTAAAAGAAGTGCCTGAAGTCAGTGAACAGAGGAAGCACTCTTTACATTTATGTATGAGATAATAGACTTAGGAGTGTTAATGCAAATAGTTGGCATTCTGCTATTACATATTACACATGATACATGTTCGTGTTGTAAAATTACCTGTTATGTTAATGTTTTGGGGGTTTTTTGGGTAAATTTTGTTTTTTGTGAATGTTAATTTTATTCTATAAAATACCAATGGGAAAAAAGGGAAGTACCCGTTATTAGATAATTAGCCAAGAAAGTTTCTTTAGAAAAATGTGAAAATACGAGCAAATATATAGGTACTGTGAATGACTTTCTAATAAGCTCATTTTCTTGTTTGTTTTGTGTTAAAGGAATAACATCACCAGCAGAAATTCCAGCAGGGACTATTCTAGGACTAACAGTTGGGGATCCACGAATAAATTTGCCTCAGAAGAGGTTCAAAGTTTTACCCAGTCCAGAAAAATGCCAAGGTAAAGTTCTTACTCTCCTGGTTTTTCTTACCACTGCACAGTCAGTCCCACCGGAAGGGTGTGTCAGCACTGTCTCTGCAGTGACTTTATCTGTGAAGACGTAAGGTGCTGTCCAGGTGATACGATTAAAGGAGATAGCATGCAGTGTGAAAGTGTCTTTTAGCTGTGAAAGTAGCCTGATCATTATGCTTATTTGTTTTCCTGAGTTCTTTATTTCTAGTATCTAGTAAGACCTGTTTCTCTGCAAACTGAGTTTCCTGAAAATGCCTGGCATTTCAGAATTTTAATTGTGAGGAAGGGATCTGCACCCGCAGCTGGTCTTGTGCTCATTGGAAGCCTCTGTCTCACTACACAGATGATCCAGGTTCGAATCCTGGCAAGGCCATCCCAGGTGCTGCAGTGTAAGATGTCCTGGTTTAGACTCAGGGGCAGTGACCTGAGGGAGTTGTTTGGCTGGGCATGTAGGGACTAGCTAAAATTTTAGTCTGATCTGGGAATTGCAGCAAACAGTTGTGATAGTCTCATTGTATTTATTATATTTAAGTACAAATAGTTGGAAGAATACTTAAAATCAGCTTCTGAACTTTTGGAGAAAGAATAAGGTTTGTGTAGTAATGATTTCAAAATTTTTTACCTCCACATGTAGTTGGATAGCATATTAAGTTGGATAGTTTATTAAGGGGGCAGGTTAAATTACTCTGTGAGAACTCAACATGAAAGGTGGATTGAATGAGATAGCTTGAAGAAATACAGGTAAGTTAATTGTGGAGCTGAATACTTGAATCAATGTGTTGTTGCCTCTTTTCTTTTTTAATAGCAATATGGTTTGATAGAACCATAAAAGTTGTGGCATCTACTATACCATTAAATGTTGACTTTCATTATATCTCAAAGCTGTAATTAAACTCTTCATTTCTCTTGCTGTCTCAAATACTTTTTTGGGGTATGAGGCAGTTACATATCAAATCTGTTTGAAACTTTTAATATGAATCAGCTCAAGGAAATGTAAAGCCTATATTAAGAAATATGATTTAAAAAAAAAAAAAGAAATATGATTTAATTTATACAAAGTTTACCATCTTGTAAAAAGTCACTGTTATTTTATTAAAACCCGTTTTAAGTACTTTCTTTGAAGAACTATTGGCATGTGAACTATATAAAGAATTAAACTTCTTAAGGAATCAGTGTACTGATATTATTAACAAACATAACACAGTGTCTAGGATGATAGTCAAAACAAAAGTTAGAAATATGCTTGGATTGGCTGGCTCAATTAATAAAAGTATAATTCTTGGAAGAAGCTCAGTGTTATGATGACCTAAAATAGTTTTTATTTTTGATTTTATTAAGTAGGTTAAATATTCCCCTGATTTCTTTTTTCCTCCCTCCACCAAACCATTCATGCCATACCTCATTTTCCTAGCTCTTCCATCCCTCCCAACCCTTTCCTCTATTCCCTCTGATAACCATTATCTTCTTTTGGCAGAGTTCAAATTTTTATTCCTTCTATTGTTTGTATGTCATTGTTTTTTTGGTATTTATATCATGCAGATGAATGAAACTATCTGAAATCTATTTTTCACTTTTTGACCGATTTCGCTCAATGTAATCACCTCGCAAACCATCCATTTTGTCTCAGATGCCACCATTTTATCATTCTTCACAGCTGTGCAATAGTCCGTTGAATATATACTCCACAGTTTCTCTATCCATTTATCTATTGATGGGCACTTGTGTGGGTTCCATGATTTGGCAATTGTAAACAGTGCTACTAGGTACATAGGTGTAGATAAATTTTCTTGTATTAGATTTTTAATGTTTTTTGTTTGTTTGTTTGTTTTTTGTTTTTGGTGAATACCTAATAGTAGTATTTCTGGGTCATACAGAACTTCCATCTTTATTTTGTTGAGAAATGTCCATATTGTTTGCTTGAGGGGCTCTACCAGCTTGCATTCCCACCAACAGTGGAAGAGAGTTCATTTTTCACTGAAACCTCACCAACATTTGTTAATTGTGTTCTTTTTATATGGGCAATTCTCATAGGGATAAGGTGGTATTTCAGGGTGCTTTAAATTTGATTTTTTTCTCTTATAGTAAGTAATGTTGGACATTTTTTCATGTCTGTAGGCCCTCTGGATGTCTTTAGAAAAATGAAGTCCTTTGCCCATTTTTTAAAATTGATTTGTTTGTTTGTTTGTTGTTCAAGTGTGTGGTATGCAGACATTTTTCCCCATTCTGTAGGTTGCCTTTTTGTGTTTGTGGTGTTTTCTTTTTAGGTACAAAAGCTTTTTAAGTTTGATATCCTCCCACTTACTCTTTTGGACTATCTTTTTGCTTTCTATTTCATTTATTTCTGCTCCAATTTTTATTATTTCTTGCCTTTACTGGTTTGGTGCTTTTTTCTTTTGCTAATTTCTTAAATTGCAGAGTAGTTTGTTAAATTGAGATTTTTTTTTAAAATGTGGGCCTGTATTGCTATAACATCCCATGTAGTACTGCTTTTAAAGCTTCCCATAGGGTTTGGTAGCTTGTGTCTTCATTTTTGTTAGTCTCTAGATCTTTTTTTCTCTTCCTTGCTTTCTTCATTGACCCAAGAGTTGTTCAGAAACATTTTGTTTTGTCTCCATGTGTTTTGGTTTGTTTCAGGATTCCTTTTAAGGTTAATTTCTAACTTTACAGCATTGCGGTCTGTGAAGATGCTTTATACAATTTCTATTTCTGTACATTTTCTGAAATTTGTATTATGTCTTAGTAAATGGTCTGTTCTTGCAAATGTTCAATGTGCACTGGAGAGGAAAATGTATTCATTGCTTTTAGAATGGAAAACTATAAATGTCTTGTAAATACATCTGACCTAATACTTCATTTTAGACCTTTATTTCTTTGTTAATTTTCTGTCTGGATGATGTATCCCTTTGAGTCAGTGGGCATTGAAATCTCTGACTGATTTTTTTTTGTTGATACATTGTTTTATGCCTAATAATAGTTGCTTTACAGAACTACATACTCCTGTATTTGGAGCATAAATATTAATAAGAGTTATATCTTCTTGGTGACATGTTCCCTATGCCATTACATAGTGTCCATTTTTGTCCTTGATTACCTTTTTTAGTTGAAAGTCTAACTGGATATTAGAATAGTAGTTCCTGATTTAGTTTTGAGTTATTAGCATAGATGACCTTATTCCAGCCTGTTATTTTTAGTTTGTTTTTGTATTTTGGTTTTAAATTAGTCTCTTATAAACAAATTCTTATGGTTGGAATTTTTCAACCAGTCGTTAGCGTATGTCTTTTTATTGGTGAATTCAGATCATTCACAATTAGTGTAATTATTGATATGAACTGTTTATTATCCATTTTGCTTTTGATTTTTGTTTTATTTTCTTGTTTTATTTTTCTGTTGTTTCTCTCTACTCTTTCTGAATGACTTTCCATAGTACTTGTATCAATTTCTTTGTTGTTTTTATCAGTAGTTGCCTATTCTGGATTTTTAGTTAGTGGTTACCGGTGGGGTTTTACTTGAATTCCTGTGTTTAATTCCTTTTTGAGCTGGTGTCTGCTCTCTAACATTTAACTACACTGGTTCTACTTATTTCTTCCTCCCTGTTAGTGTTTTGTTGTTGACTCACAGTATTCTTGCTCTTGCTACGGGTGTTGTATTGTGATTTTGTGCTTCAGTTTTTCTTTCCTTGTATAAGAACTCCTTTTAGTATTGAGAAACAGGTCAGCTGGTGGCAAACTCTATTAGCTGCTGTTTGTTTGAGGAAACCTTTGTTATACCTTCATACTTAATTGATAACGTCACAGGACAGAATTCTTGGCTGGCAGTTCTTATCTTTTAGGATTGCAAATATTTCCTTCTATTCTCTTCTTACTTGGAGTGTGTCTGGGTTGAAATCTGGGGAATTCCTAAGCTGGGAGCCCTTATGAGTTATTTTAGCTTGCTTCCTACAAAAGTTTTTCTTTATCTTTGATTTTTTTTTTTTATAGTTTGACAATGAGGTGTCTGGTTTATGATTTAAAACTTAATTCACTGATACACTACCAGTCTCTCCCACTATCAACATCCTGTCCTAGAGTGGCAAGTTTATTATAATCCATGAATCTACCTTGACACATCGTTATCGTATCATATATTAGAGTTCTGTCTTGATGTTACATTTCTGTGGGTTTAGATAAGTGCATATCAACATGTGTTATCTTTATAGTATCACACAGAATAGTTTTACTATCCTGAAAATCTATTGTGTTCTGCCTGTTCACCCCTCTCTTCCTCCTTAAAGCCCCTAATCATTTTACTGTCTCCATCCTTTTTTGCTTCTTCTAACCAGAGTATTATATAGGTGGAGTCAAACAACATCTAGTTTTTTTAGATTGGCTTCTTTCATTTAGTAATATGCATATGAATTTCCTCCATGTCTTATCACAACTTGATAGCTCATTTCTTTCAAGTACTAAATAATATTCCATTGTCTGCATATTCCATCTACTTTGTTTCATCTGTTTATTATTTTTTTAGAATATTTGAAAATGACATACTTTCCTGTGCCTTTACACCTTAAGTATCAACATTTATCTTTTGTCTGCCACTAAGTCTGAATAAAGTCCCAGTTTTGTCACTAATATATATGGCAGTGCTCCACAGGAAAGCATTCTAAGTAGGTGGAAGTTGCTCCTGAATATGGAATGTGAGTGTTTGTATTGCACCGCATTACTCCTTCAGTTGCTGTTGAGTATTCATTCTATGAGGAAGAACATGGTATTAGAAGCAATTGATGCTGCTTTTAAGAAGCTTTCCTCTCACATTTTTTCATCAATTTAATTTTCTCTAACTTTGTTCTCCCCCTGAAATCTAACACATTATGGTCCAGTGCTTCCAACTTATTTTTTTTCCAGCCATCAGACCCATGCAGGTATGTGCTTTTGAGTGACCTTTCTATGTTAGCATTTTAGGGCCTTAGCCAAAACTCATGATTTGCCTGACTTTTTTTTTTTTTTAATTCTTTAACCTAACAAAATAAAATTTAGAAGACTTTTATTGCCTTAGTGTTAAATAACTGCCATAGAAGTTTCTTTTATTTTTATATGTTTTTAATTGAAGGAAGCTTTTCTTTCCCACCAGAGTACTTTTTTGGCGTGATGTGGCTTATTTAAAGGGATGAAGCAATATATGTCACAGAAATTATGCTCATTTTAAAGGAGTGAGAAAAATACATTTTGCAGAATGGAATAAACATTAAGTTCAATAAGAAAGAGTTATCAGGGCCTCCCTGGTGGCACATCGGGTTGAGCACCACACTATGAAGCAATCTGCAGCCTCTGCAGCATGAGTTCGATCCCTGGCTGGCCAGGGAGCAACTACGTGGTGAGGCAGATCTCTCCTGACTCGCCTACTGCTGCCCTCAGCAGTGTACTTCAGTCAATCTGCCTGTTCTGTTCCCCACTGTCTCTGGTGAATCCTCTCACCCCCCTGCAACTCTGGCCTGTACCCCAGCTCTTATATGTATAAATAAATAAATCTTTAAAAAAAAAAGAAAGAAAGGGTTATCAGGACAGAAATAACAGGACAGAAGGAAAGGATTGTATCTGTTGACTCACCCCACTGGGCCAGCAGTGATATCAAGAGCTCTGAAGTGAATAATTAAAACATGGCTTGTGCTGTCATAGCTTGTTACCAAGAAATTTTTCACCTTGAATTTGATTATCTTAAATGTGGAATCAGGCAGTTAGTTAGAGGCAATTTAATGTGGTAGTTGCATCTTATACATTAAAAGTAAATGTCAAAGAAATGAGTTTAGGAGCCTTTGTATTTCACAGATTATCAAACCAATTATCAGAATAACTTAATATCTGGGCCCTCCCTGGTAGCCTAGGGGTTAAGTCTCAATGCTATCATGAAGAGAAGGCCTGAGTTTGATCCTCAGCCAGGAAGCTAACCCACGTGGTGCAGCTGACCTCTCCTGTCTTGCCTGCTGCTCCCCTCAGCAGTGTATTTCAGTAGATCTGCCTGTTCTGCTCCCCCACTCTGTTTCTTTCTCTCCTCTCCCCTTGCCCCCTGCAGCTCTGGCCTATACCCTAGTTCTTCTATTCAAAAATAAATAAAAGTAAAATCTTTAAAAAAAAAAAAAGAATAATTTATAATCAAGTAAATTCTTCTAGAGACATTAAGTAGTGCCTACCAAATATTTTCTTGTAACTAACGGTCAGTTGGCAATGCTTAGAATTTGGCTTCATTGGTCTAAAGGATGTGATTTGAAGGTTATTTCTTTTCCCTCTTAGATAATGAGAAAGTTAGACAGCTGCTGCTGGAGGGTGTGCCTGTGGAGTGTACGCATAGCTTTATTTGGAACCAAGCTATCTGTAGGAGTGTCACAGAGAATAAAATCTCGGATCAGGTAATTAATAGTGTAAGGATTATTGGTAAAGTCGTAAATGACAGGTTGAAATTCATCACTTAAGACACTATAAAGTTATTTTTTACTTTATGAATCACATAGACTTCCTTTCATTTTCAAACACTTTATTGATCCCTTACTTAAAATACATACTATGATTTCCCCCCCTTATTCTTAGAGAATAATCTCTAGAAAAAGTTAACACAGGGTCTTCATTGAAATGTAATCTCGTGGTTTAAATGTCTCTTTTATTGTCTTTCCCCCTTAACTGTTCTCTGTCTTTAATTTCATAATGATTGAACTCCTACTGGGACTATATGTCATGGAGTAGGTGACTAGGATATGATCAAAAAGTATATATTTAAAGGAAAACCCCCTAAAGGAGTTCCAAAACCAAATTAGGGAAATTAGGAGAAGCAGGTATTTGAGAGGACTCTTAGGTGGGTGGTCAGAATTAACCAGACTTCTTGGGGCCGGGATCCGAGATCTAGGCACCAAACCTGCACTGGAGAAAGGATTACTGTAATAACAGCATGTGCGAGGATGCTGGCCGAAACCCAGACACTGTGCTCATGATTCTCCAGGTAGATCACTAGTGTAGAGTCAGGAGTGGGGCAAGACTTGAAACTGAAGAGATAAATAGGAGCATAACGGACATTGAGGCATTTTAAGGATTTGAATGGAAGATGTTGGATGCCTGTCATGACATGATCAGATTTCACTTAGGCAGCACTGTTGAGAGTGATTTGACTGGGGGCAGGGGCAAGGGTTTAGAAGCTGGAGAGAGGACCAGCAGTTGGGTGGCCTTTAAAGAGACCCTGGAAATAGGTATTACATGATGAGCCCTGAATTATGACAGTGTGACTGCAGCAGAGGGGCTGGGTTTAAATATATATTCCTGGAAGGTAAAATTGACAAGACTTAGTGTTTGACTGGAAGATGGAGGATGAGAGAGGATGCTTATAGGTTAGCTCCTAAGGGTCTAGATTAGGTCTAGGAGCTCAGCTAGAAAAGAGCCAGATCCAATTTTGCCTTGTCATTGCTATATTCCCAAGTTCTAGAAAAGCACTTGGCACGTAACAGGTGCTCAGTAAATAATTGACTGAATGAGTAAATGAATAAATGGTAACTATTTGAAAGAATGAGTGATGAGCCATGAGAATTGTGGCATCATCAACTAGATGGGGAATACAGTCGGAAAGATGAGTGTGCAGTCTTAGATATATTGAGTTCGAGGGGCTTAGGGTTTTCCTGGAAGTAGAGCCGGATTTTAATCCCGGAAGGATTTGAGCAAAAGAGATAGTAAGTTCCTCACAGGGTTTTCCTGGAAGTAGAGCCGGATTTTAATCCCGGAAGGATTTGAGCAAAAGAGATAGTAAGTTCCTCACAGTAAGTTCCGCACAGTAAGTCCTGACTTAATGTTGTCCATAGGTTCTTGGCAACTGTAACTTTAAGCAAAACAACAATGTAGAACAGGAAGCAAATCCTGGAATATAGTCATTTAGTTCAACATTCTTTCTTTATAACATTGATGAAAGGGGGGTAAATCTTGGCCAACTGTATATGAAATGAAGTTATTTGAGGACCTGCTGTACTTTGGAATTATCAAGACATAGATAGATGGTAGTAGAAACTTGACCAAAGGTAACACAGGACAATTGGGACTCAATCGTGGCTGAAAGAGCAGCCTGGAGGAAGCTCTTAGATTTCAGCACAGAAGAAACATCTTGTTTTGTTTCTGAGTTGAGTGTTGACCTCTTACCTACCTCACTCATCTTTTTACAGCTGGCAAGAAAAGTCAGAAGGATGTTGTTACTCCATATGGTCCACTTAACAGTGATAAGATTAATACTGATAGAAGATTAGCAGCAGGGATGTGTATTATTTTATAATCTTGAATTGAGTATATTGCAGCCCCAATTTAAGATAATCTGGCATTGTTACCACAGCAAATAGGGGATGATCTTTATTGTAGGAGTACCTTGCACTTAAAGTGGCTCATATTTATCGACTGAGAATACTTGTTTCTTGGTTATTTTTTTTTGTTTTGTTTTGTTTTTGTTTTGTTTTTTTTTTTGAGAGAGAGAGAGAATTTAACTTCCTTAAATTGCTTATAGCGAGGCCCAGTAGAATATCCCAGAAGACTAGGGTTGTTTGTCTTGAATTATTTTCTTCCACTTTAGGATTTAAACCGGAAAAGAAGTGAATTGCTGGTGCCTGGGTCCCAGCTTGTTTTAGGTCCCCAGGAATCCAAGATACCTATCCTTCTGATTCAGCAACCCGGGAAGGTGACTGGTGATGACCGCCGAGGCTGGGGGAGCGGCTGGGATATCCTGCTCCCCAAGGGCTGGGGCATGGCTTTCTGGATTCCATTTGTAAGTTACTTTTTGATTCTAAGAGTTGCAACATTTAAAATACATTCCTAAGAAGTACCAACTGCTAATAATGTTCCAGACTTTAGCACAATTTAGAGATTAGCTGCTATTTTTCTGCCCTTACAGCTATAAACCTGGAGAAAAGAAACTTAATACAAAAAAATCTCTGGTGCCAGATTTGTGTTAGTAAGAGTTGTGCTGACATAGTGTGAATTTTTGAGGTTTTTAAAGTGGTCAGATTATTAAATAGTAGTAACAACATTTTTTAAGTTATATTTTTACTTGAAATTTGTTACAGTTTTAAAGCAAAAGGCTTAATTTTTTATAGCTGTAGAGAATACATAATTTGTATGTTTTTTTAAAATGCTGACCATATATTCCTTTTTAAATATAACTAAAAATCTATTTCAAATGTAATGTGTGTTTTTCCCCCAGTTAGTTTAAGTATCACTTTGAGCTAAAGTATAAAAAAAACACAACTAGATAAGACTGTTGGATTCATGCAGGTATTTGATTTTAGTGATTATGCCTAATGCAAGAGACATTCAGGTAATCATTTATCAATGGGAGTATTTTAAAATAATTTTGTTTAACTTTTTAATTATGTAATGTTTCAAACATACACAAAGCTATAGATACTGATATAACAGCCCATGTACCCTTTGCCAGCCATCCAGCTTGATCAAACATTGCAGATTCTTTGGAAAAACTTTGTGTAACCTTCTCTGATCCCATGTCCTCCCTCCTTCTAAAAGAATCACTGGTGTTTTTGGTGTTTGTCATTACCATGCATGTTTTATGGTCTATTGAGTATGCAAATATCCCCAAAATAAAATTACTATATATCTAACATGTTTTTCTGATTTATATACTTAACTGTATATATGCTTTTACAACTTGTAGCAGTCACTCAACATTGAGATATTTCTATGATGAAACTCTCATTTCATTCATTTTTATAATTCTATAATGGATTATAGGTAGGACTATCCCACAATGTGTTTATCTCTTTCTGATAGGCATTTAGATTGTTTCCCATTTTCCCATAAAATAATCCAGCAATTTCGTTTTAAGTTGGTATATTGATTGGATCTTTTTGATGTTTCTTGTAGATCTATCGAGGGGCAAGAGTTGGAGGATTAAAAGAGACTCTAGTACATTCTCAGTATAAAAGGTTGCCTAATATTCCAGGTGATTTCCCAGACTGCCCTGCTGGGATTCTCTTTGCTGAAGAACAAGCTAAGAATCTTCTTGAAAAGTACAAAAGGTAATAGCCAGCTGTTCTAGTTTGTTAATGTCTTAAGGGGTAGTGAAGTAGTGCCCACTTTCACTGGCCAGGGATGTCTTAGGTGACTTCAGTAACTTACGTTATGAGGTGTTTTCATAGATTTTTCTTGGAGTTCACCGTTACCGTGACATAATTAAGATTTCACTTAAGCCAGGAGATTGTCTTATATCTGGCCTACCCAGGTGTAGGATAAATGAAGATTGCTCAGGCTTTTGCGCCGATGGCCTCTGGGGCTATCACCTGTGGCCTTGCACGCAGAAGGCACTTGGAAGTGTGGGCACAGGGCACGCATGCCTAATGGTGGACACCCGGAGTATGGTGTGGGCATGTGCAGTGGGCACACCTGAGCCTGGAGGCTGAGGCTATAAAGGCAGCATAGGGAGATGGTGGCAGAATAACTACATAGGAGGAGGCCATGAGATGATGCCAGAGAGAGCCGAAAGAGAGTAAAGATTTGCTGGGGGCTGGGAGGACTGCCAGTCTCCCGGCCCCCTGACCCCAGCCTGCCATGTGCTGGCCTGCACAATACCAGGTTACACACTCTTCCTTTGGTTATTTGCTTACATTGATTGTTATTATTGATTATTATTAGTGCAGCTAACTATGGACATTCACACAATTGCTAATAGATTCCCCTTACCAGCCACAGAGCAGGTTTTCTATGATCCAGCAGATGGGGTAAAGGAGGAGTCAGAGTCCTCAGTGGCTTTTATGAAGGTCTTTTATTTAGATTTACCAGGCTGCTCCCTACCTTTTAGGGTCAGCAAGCACCAACATCTTGGGAGACCCCCTCCAAATGGAAATTGTGATTTTTTTTTTTATAACTGGGTTATGGAAATAATACGTATTTGTAAAAGTTTTAGTGGAACTTTGGAAACATACAAAAAAACAAACTGGTTATTCCTGCCATCCAGAGATACAAGCTCTGTTTTTGCATTTTTTTTTTTTTCTTAAAGAGTTTTTCACTGGGAGATTGGTAGATGAGGAACTCTGTTTTATCCTGAGAAGTACATTCTAATGTTGGGAAACTATAGACACCACTTTGTCATTATACAGTAAGACCATTCAGGGCTGTTGCATTTTCTTCCCCAAAGGCTGAATATAATTAGGATGGGCTTTGCCAAGTGGAGGGAGTTAAGGGTCCATGAGAGGGAGTGACTCACAAGAACTGTGGCATCTCAGCTGGTGAGGAGCGATGCTGCAGCACTGGTGAGCAGTGAGGAAATGGTAGAGGAAATAGCCAGTTCAGTGGTTGAGGAATTGTTACAGGGAGAGGTACATGGGCTGCAAAGATAGAGGGCCTCGCTGAGTGTAAGATACTTGAGAGAGATTTTAAAGCAGAGCAGGTGTTAGTAATGATTGAAAACTAAGGTGTGACCAGGCTAGTGGGTGGTTGAGGTAGGGCGAAGTGAAAGATGCAGAGTTTCTGGTAGGCCAGGGCATTCATGGTATATGCAGATGCCAAAGCCACAGAGAATGATGGAGCAGAAAGGAGCGTGAATGGGGTGCCTGGGAAATTGAGAGGATCTGGTTGAGGAAGAAGGAGAACTGGTGGTTTATTTTCAAAGGTCTTAAAGGAGGCAGAGGAAAACTGGTGTGAGCATCAGGAGTGGGTCTGCCCGCCTTCGGCCATGGGATGGGAAAAGCCATCACTTAAGAAGAGCCGTAGGGGAAGCATGCACCATCGGTTAAATTCCATAAGAAAGATTTCTGGCTAAAAAAAGATACACACTCTAAGGACTTGAGATATTGGCGATTTGCTGTTTTGTTAATTTAGGATTTCACCTGTGCTTAGGAAAGGCTTGCTTCCCACTCAGCATCCTAGGAGAGCACCAGTCCTTTCTATTGACAAAGCTGATAGGCAAAAAAAACGGTATCTCATTCTTTAGTTTTGTTTGCTTACTTGTGAGGTTGGATATTTTTGTTTGTCACCATCTTTTGTCTTTTTTTGTAAACTACCCATTTACTTCCTTCTAAAAATCTCCAGAGTGCGTTTTATTAGCCACCCCTCTTGGGAGACCAGTACACATTTGGTTCAAAATATAGTTTCAAACTGAACCGCCGATTAAGCTTACAAGTCCCTTTCCATTTCAGATCTGCATATTTAGGGCATCACACATTGTAAGAAGTAATTGGGGGAAGGAATGTCTGGGCCTGGTCCAGAGGAGACCATCAGTCTGAGGACACAGTGTGGGTCTCCCTAAGAGTTCTCCAGCCCAGAATAACCAACAGCCAGGCTGCTCCCTACCTTTTAGGGTCAGAAAGCCCCAGAGGGGCCCTGCTCTCTCTAGCTAGTGGTAATGCTCAAAGGTTCCCTTATTCACACATTACTGGTAAGGCCAATTGCTATCACCCTGGAGGAGAGCAGTGTGGCAATACCTGTCAACGTTGCAATCCTAGTACTCTGCCTGAGCAGTTCCACCCACAGAAACTTATCCTGTGGATATAGTTGTGCTTATGTAACATATGCAAGGTTATTCATTGCAGCATTGTTTACAGAAGCAAAAACTTGAAAATAACGCCAACATCCTACAAGAGAGGAAATGACTAAATTGGAATATAATCATGTAGTGGGATAAGATGGGCAGGCTTTTGCAAAGGAATGAGGAACCTCTTGGTATACTAATATAAAATCATTTCCAAAATGTTTTGGTAAATGAGAAAAATGAAGTTAAGCAAAAATTACTGTATCTGGTATGCTAATTGTTTAAAAATGGGTTAAAGAAAAGAAAGGAATTATACATCTCCATCAGTATGTACATGCAGTGTCTCTGGACTGATATATAAGAAGCTGATAATGACATTGTATGTCTGGAGGGCAGCTGGGTTACTAGCGGTCAAGTTAGGGGGAAAACTCACTGTCACCTTTTTTGTACCTTTTAAACTTAGAACCTTGCAGATGTGCAGGGACCCCTTTCAGGAATGGCACATCCTGGATCGTGGGGTGGCCACCTGGGGCTACTCTCTGGATAACATTATTATCTATTAAAATAAAAATCGAAGAAAATAAAAAAGCTCAGCTAGTAGAGTTGTTATTATTCTTTATCATACTTCTTACAAAACATTTTTTGTCAGATTGTTATTTAAAAACAGATGTAGTGCAATGGCCATAGTAAGTATTTTAATTATCCATTACTAAATTGTTTAAAATTGGCTCTCCTCTTGGGTTTTCATTAGACGCCCTCCTGCAAAACGGCCCAACTATGTTAAACTCGGCACTCTGGCCCCCTTCTGGTGCCCCTGGGAGCAGTTAACTCGGGACTGGGAATCCAGAGTCCAGGCCAAAGAGGAATCTTCTGTAGCTTCCTCTCCCAATAGTGAGGAGTGCGACTGGAGAAGAGACGCAATGCCTTGTGCCACCACACCTGAGAAGGCTGGCCAGCTGCCCAGTGAAGTGGACATCTCCGTCAACCACTCATGTGAGCCGGAAGGAGTAATGGACACAGAGTGCCCAGGCCAGGCAGGGTCTGAGCTGGTGGCAGGCCCAGGTGCCTCGGGGAGTGTCCTCTGCGTCCTCAGGTAGGTGCACGTGACTTCTGGATCCGTTCTGGATTGTCTGTTTTAATAGTGGACAGACTACAGGATATACAAGCTGTTATTGTGCCTTCATGCAAAGCCTGAGTGAACTTGTGGACTTTCAGGAGCGGAAAGCCAGTCCTTCAGTTTCATATTTCATGACAATAGCTAAATAACTTTTGATTTTGGTCATGATTCTAACAAAATGATTTAAAATATTGTCATCAATGACCTAAGCTAAGGCAGTTTTTTCTGTGACCTATTTCATTTAGTCTTTCTCACAAAGCAGTCCCCTCAACACTGCACTTAGGCAATAAAGAACCTTGCAAACTCTGATCGAATGTTCTCTGCTTTCAGTCACAGCATTAGATTTCTTTTAGTTCCTTTGGAATGATCTGAACTTGTGGCATATTAGGTGTCCATTCCATGTAATACTGTCACGTCGTGGGGACTAGCACATGTGACCCACTCAATACTGCTGCAGGCTATTAAGTTTTGCTTATCTTATACTTTGCTAAAGTTACCCTTTATTCTGTGCTCTGATTTTTTTAAAGGAATTATCCTTTCTCCCTTATCCTTGTTCTGCACAGTAAACTTATAACCTTTATACTTTAACTCATGAAAATACCAGCTCCTCTTTTCTCTGTCTCCTTACTCTGATCGACAGCCTTGGAGACCATCCCACTGTCTTACTTTTCTCTGCCTTAAACTTGCTAAACCTTCAGTCCTTCAGCTGCAGAATAGCAGACACATAAAAAGAAAAATATCATTATGAAACTGTATTAATATATATTTTAAATCTTTAAAAAATTATGGTTTTGGTATTTTCCCACATAGTATTATTAAAAATATTGAACTCTAACAATGCCCACCCTTCTAGTTGCCAACTTCTCCTTGAACAAAATAGCCTCATACATATGTCTCTAACTTCACATAGGAGCAGAAAATCACTGAAGCAACTGTCAGCCTGGTGTGAGCCCAGCTCCGGGGACAGTCGGGCAGCCAGGAGAGCTGCTAGCAGAGGACAGCAGGAGTTGACCAGACAGGCCTGCCTGTCCATCTTGGGCCAGTTCCCCAGGGCTCTGGTGTGGGTCAGCCTGTCCCTGCTCAGGAAGGGCAGCCCCGAGCCACACACCATGATCTGCGTCCCGGACAAGGAAGACTTGCTCCGGCTCAGGCAGGATCGGCTCTACCGTGGGCCCCAGGAAATGAAGCATGGCGACCCATTCAAGAGTGCCATCCGGAAACAGAAGGAGATGAAGAAAACAGAGAAAAAGCAGAGCCAAGGGTGTGCTGCGGCTGAGGGCCTGACAGCAGGGGACCCTGCAGCCACACAGCATGCTCTGACCCTGGGCTTGTGGTCAGGCCCTCTCCCAGCTGTCACTTGTCACTGCTCCAGAGTTCTCCTCGGCTTTGTCACACAGGGAGATTTCTCCATGGCTGTGGGCTGTGGAGAAGCTCTGGGGTTTGTTAGTTTGACAGGCCTGCTGGATATGCTGTCCAGCCAGCCTGCAGCAGAGAGGGGCTTAGTGTTGCTGAGGCCTCCTGCGTCTCTACAGTATCGGTTTGCAAGAATTTCTATTGAGCTGTAAGTGCCATTCACACCCCTGCAAGGTGTGATAACTGTTTGCCAAGTCCCGAAATGGAGGGATTTATTTCCCACATCTTCTGCTTCAAAATATCATGTGAAATTTCTTGGGAACAAAAATTTTAAATGTATTATGCAAATACATTTAAAATTTTAAATGTATTATGCAAATGGATGAAATGTTTACATCATTCCAGTAATCTCATTGATTTCTATCTGCCTTTGCTGTCGTACTTTAATTTATTGGGCATATATGGCCAAAAGCTTTTATATTATGATTTTTCTGGGTCTGTGTAATTCTTGCTGAAGATAATTAGAAGCTCTGTGTTTTCTCGAATCTTTTTTTTTTAATTAAGAACAAAGGGCTGTCAAGTCTGTTTGAAAAACCTCGTAGCTATGTGATAAGCAATAGCGGTTATTTAATGATTTGACTGTTACAGAAGAGGAAGAGGGCCTCCCCTGGTGGCGCAGCGGTTGAGCGCTGGGCTGCGAAGCTCTGCAGCACTGGTTTGATCCCCGGCCACCGGCGAGGGTCCCACATAGCGCGCAGACCTTCCCTGCCGCCTGCTGCTCCCCTCAGCAGTGTACCTCATCACTCTGCCTGTTCTGTTCCCCGCTCTGGCTCTGGTGAATTCTCTCACCCTCCCGCGCTTCTGACTGTACCCAGTGCTTGTATAAATAAATAAATCTTAAAAAAAAAAAAGAGGAAGAGACTAAGCCCCTGCCTGTGTACATAAAATGCCCTCTGCCCCCCCCCCCCCATGTTCAGTGCTGTGCTATACTATACTTAACACCAGAAAGAGAGAAATCATGGAAAATCAACTATTGCCTCTACTCAGGCAGGCTCAGTTTATGGCAAGTGTTGGGACAGAATTAAAATGAATGGAGTCTCATTTTTTATGATACTCATATCCTCTTTATTGTTGACCAACACATGATTTTAGGAATTAATTTCTCTGCCATGAAGGAGCAATTTCTCAAAATATGTTCTAAGCAACGTGTTACATTAAAAAAAAAAGAGAGATTCCAAGGTCAGATTGATTTGGGAAACTCTAGGTTAAACAAAGTTAAGCGTTTCTTTCTAAAGAACTTCCAGAACCTTCCATGTGATAATGTGCATTGTGAATTACCAGGAAGTGGAAAATAGGCTATAGTATTTTTAAAATCTTTTTGATTCCCAAACCCCTTTTGCAAGGAGCACTTTGTGGGAACAGTGTTCTTGGGAACACACTGGTAAATGTAGTTGTGTGGTGCAATACTTAACTCTGCAAGGAGCTAACTAAAGCAACAGGCTGCTGTATGTGCTGATGCAGTCACATTGTCAAGCTTAAATTTTAAGCAGGGTGTTAAAGAAAGGTCTCTTGTCTTGCAGGAGTGGGATCATCTTTGCCTTTTTTCTCTTGCAGAGAAACTAGCTTCTCATTAACTTTTGGTTGCCATGTATGTTTAACTTATAACCTCAGTTCTTTATTTTCCTACCATATATTTCTAGCAGAGCTTGAGTAGGATTTTTTTTCTTAATTTGAGTGTGTAGTTAGGTATTATTTCATGTAAATGCATTGGGCTTTTGCAGTAACATTTGGCAATAAATATCTTTGGGAGTGATAAGCTGGGGAGAGACACACTGATATTATATGGTAGCCTATGAAATGCTGGTGTTTTTCCTCTCACTTTTTCTCTGAATGGATTTGTGTCCAACCCAAACGAGACTGGGGAAAAAAAAAAAACCTGTAACCAAGTGGTGTCTGTAAACAGAAGAAATTAAAATGTCACCTGATGCTCAGTTGTGAATATTTATGGGACCATTCTTCATTTGTTTTCTAGGCTCCACGCCACTTCATCTGTGGCTCAGCTTGCTTGATGACAGAAGTCTGAGCATGTTGCGAGTCCCCCAACCTCATTTGTGCAGCTCCCTGCCTGGTCTTGGCCGCTCTGCCCACGTGACAGGGGACAAGACCTAGTTACTCTACTTTGTGGGTAGTAGGTGAATGAACCACATACTGAAAGGATAGACTAGCATTTTGCAAAAAATATTTCTTGCAGCACTGGTACCTGGAGATGTTTCCTGGAAAACAGATTGTTCATGGCCAAATGTGAGGAAAGCTCTGTGCTGCATCCTGTTGCAAAGCCACAAAGGCTCTGGTGATCCGTACCACAAAGGCTCTGGTGATACCTTCAGGAAGGACATCTGTCTTACACAGTCCCATCCCCTGCTTCCACGCACACTCTGGTTTGGGTGGTGGTGTTTTTTTCTATACCTGTAGTCCAGAGAACACTAGTTTCATGGAGTATTCTCTGGAAAACACTGATAGAATCTGCAAATATGAAGAATACATTCCTCTTATTAAAAGCCTTTGGGAATGACATTATTCTCTATAGCAATGGGATGGATTAATGTGCTTATTTTGAGCCTGCAAGGTCCCTGCCACTGTCTAGGGCTGCTGAGCTGCAAATAAGTACAGCGTGGCCCTGCCCTCTTGTCCAGGGGGCAGAGATTTCAGCGTTCACCATGTCAGGGAGTGTATGTCCTATAGAGCAGAGTTGTGGGTGAACACTCAGAGACCTGCTCTGCTCCTGAATTGTGTACAAATTGCTGCTGTGGTTAAGCTCTGCTTTTCACAACACTGTACAAGTAATGTTTTTAATTATATTCGTCATAGAAAACTTAGAAAATGCAGGTAAGCAACACCAATAAATTTAAGCACTCGGAACACTCTTTTCTTCCCAGTACCTGTGCTTCTAGGCCTTGAGATGGTAGTGTTCTTTAAGAGTAGCATCAGTAATCCTTAGAGAAAACCTGGCCCACAGGTGCCCCTGAAGTGCTGCTGCCGATGCCTTTGGAGCTTGATTCCTTAGGCCTAGTGTTCATCCTCCTCTCACTGGAAATAGGAAGTGAGTAGGTAAGGACACTTCCTGCACTCTGTACAGGGATGCAGTCCGGCTGCTGCATCCCTGAGAGACTTTTTCCTCCCAGCCAGTGGGAAGGGAGGCAGGCAATGGACGGCTGCCTGGGTGCCTCAGTCATCTGGAAGGACTGGGCTGCTTGGCAGATAACAGAAGGTACCAGACTGTGGCAACTGTGGGTCACTCAGGGCAGCACCCCCCGTTACACAGCCGTGCTGGCCACCCCAGAACACCGAGGACTGCATATGCTGGCTTTGGCAATGGTGGCTTTTAATCCCTTGCAGGACATTAGAATCACCTGGCAATCACCCCCAGAAAGTAGTCTCTGGTTGGGGGCACGCAGGAGTCCTCCCTAAATTCAGGCCAGGCCATTCTGTGGTGACTTGGGTTGAAAAACGCTTGAAGTGTTAGGAAGGCTGGAGCCCCAGGGAGAGCATGGTGAGTAACAGGCCGAGGGAAACTGCTGCTCTTCTGCCATCAGCGCCCGCGTGCACCTGAGAACACCTGTCGGCACCGTCGGCTTCAGGTCCGTGGCCCCCACGCCAGCTGCCAGGTGGGAGCTCACTGAGCCCGAGGCGGGAGGGAGGGGCCGGGTGCGGCTCCCACGTGGACAGGAGGCCCAGGCTTGGGCGAGAGTCGCTCATCACGCGGGTAACTCCAGACCAGCTGTTCTCCATCTCGGCAGCACATTGCAATCATCTGGGAGCTTCCAAAGTCTTGGTGCCCGGGGGTTGCTGATTTAAATGATGAGGGAGCAGCGTGTGTGGACCTGGGATTTATAAGAGCAGTTGGTTGGGTCGCCACCTCCTCGGGAACTTTCCAGCGTGATCTGAGGCGGACCCCTTCCTCGCAGCGAGCAAGACACGGAGCAGCCCTGGCCAGGTAGGAAGGTAGCAGTTATAATGAGCAAGGGAACTTACTAGGGAGGCTGGTCTTGGCCTACCGTTGTTTTCTGCTGGCTTGTTGCCTGATGCCATGACAACGTTAAATCTCTGTTGTTTACTTGCTCACAGTCGATTCTGCTAGGTTCTGAGTCTCATGAAAGGGGGACAACGTATTATCTGATTGTTGTTGCATCCAGGTTCCAGCACAGTGCCCAGCCCCTAACTTTGGTTTAATGCACTTTTGTTGAAGGAACGGTGGTGACCTGAGTCTTGACGCGAGCGCGCCTCTCTATGGTTAATGGACAAATGGGCCACTAGGTGGTGCCCAGACTTCACAGGAAAGCAGTCTGCTGTGTGCGTGCTTCCTGCGCGGGTGCAGGGCTGGAGCAAGAGTCAAGACTTACAAACAGAGCAACGTTTTTTCTTTTGTGGGGGGGGGCGGGCAGACCCATATCCCCAAAATCCTAGCTTGAAACGGCTTTGTGATTTCTAAAGAGGGCTAGAAGAAGTAACTTAAAAAAAGTTCTCACCTGAAGAGTTAATCCCACCCACACCATCCCCCCCAAAGGGTGTCTCCCCACCCTAGCAGAATGCTTTCAATGATGGAGAGCTCATCAGTTCAGCCAAAGATGCCCTTTTCCCCGGGGCAGCGCACTGACAGCGAACTCCTTCAGCCGCACCTTAAGCCCATCTTCCCTCCCTCTTACTATGTCAGCTAATGCTGAGAACAACCCTTTATTTTTGCTTTCTCTTCTCCAAACTAAACAACCTCATTTCTTTAGCTTTCTTTCCTCTTGTTTCCAACATCTCACAGAGGACCTGAAATTATTTTTGGACAAGACCTAATTTGTTCTTAGAACAACGCTGCACAGCTGTGTGAGCCTTGGGCAGGGGCTGCTGGCTTTCGGGAGAGCCTGGAACGTTCCGGGTCACTGTGGGCCCTCTGAAGTCTGCAGGCTCCTCTGCCTTGCTCAGCAGGGTTTTAGCTGCTACTGCTTGAGGCTTGTGTGAGCTTGACTTTCCTGAAAAGCAGAGCCTGGGACACTGACCTGCAGGCGGTTTCTCTCAGGAAGTGACCTACAGGAACAGGCGTGTGGAGATTGAGCAGAGAAAACAGGGGAAGGATTGAAAGCCCCTCCACACATGCCTTGTTCAGCTGGCCACCCAGGGGGCAAATGAGTGTGCCTCTGATTTGCCCACGTGAGGCCCAGAAGTGGGAAATCTTTATTTACCAGCTGTCAGTCCTACCGGCCAGGGATTGTCCACGGAGTGTTCATTTCCTTGCACCTCCAAGTTTGCACAGGTGCTAGAATGGCTGGCTGCTCGGTGGGCAGCCCGAAGGCCCAAGGGCAGGAAGGAGGGGCAGAGGTGCAGGCACTGGCGGCCACCCTTCCCCACAGGTGCCGGGTGTGAGCTGAACGAACACCTGGCGGTGTGAGACAGGAGGTGTCCAGCTCAGAGCCCTCGGGAGACAGGGTGACTGTTTCCTGTTCAGACTTTCAAGGAGTCAAGGGGTGTGCACGCACTTGGACATGTGTATTTTCTCAGCAGGGATGGGAAGTGTTAGGGTACCTTACAAGCACCCTAGAATAAGTGCCAGAATTTGGATGGAAACTCTGAGTTGATCTTGCCAAAGGTGTGTGTGTTGGGGGGCAGTTGCAAGAGCCTTTCTTCCTGTGGGCATTGCCTGGTGTGTTTTTGGAAGAGCCCCTCTACGCCCACCACTGTCTTCAGGAAGCAAGCCCCAGGCTGTTGCTGGTGAGCGGATAAGCCAGGGGCCTGATCTTTTTTTTTTTTAATTTTTTTTTTTCTTACAACATTGTAGTCCTCATAGTTCTCCCATCACCTTATCACCCGTGACCCAT